CTGCTGAACTTGTGAACGTAGTGTATCAAATTGAGTTTCCGTACAACAAACATTGCCCGTGATCGTGGGGCACAGGCTTTGTATCTTTGAAGACAGCAAGTCGTCAGGCTGAAAAATATCACAATTAGAAAACGCCAGAAACTCAAACTCCCCACGTTCTCCAGCAAATCACACACAGACAGAATCTGCGTCTCTCAAGATTCCGACAAGAATCTTGTTTTCTCCTTCTTACCTTCACCGCAGGGGTGTTGAAGGGGCAATTAAGTAATTTCCCATCAGCGCGTGCTCCACAGATATCATACATCGCGCAATATCCCGCAGCATGCTTTGCTCCTTTCGAAGGTGAGCCCTGTGCTTCGACTCCACTGAGAACTAACACAATCTGCATACGAAAAATCATCGGGAAAAAAGGGTTTAGGGTAACCGTGAAAATATAAAGACAAAAAGAAAAAGAGAAACATCTCCGCGAGAAGATTGCGGAGACAGAATCGATTGAAAAATCTAAGGGTCAAGAACAAGCCGGTGCATCGACAAACAGAGAGAGATACAGAAAGAGAGGCCTTTCCTGGAGAGAGAAAAACAGAACAAGCCATGGAATCTTCATCTCTGTTTCTTCTTCTTCTTCGATTTGTCTCGTTCCTTCGACAAAGAACTCGAATCCGAAGTTGATTCTACTCCGATTCTCTCAGTCTCGCATGGGGACAAAAATGGCGACGGAAAGCAAAGATTGAAAAAGAAAACGGAGTAGATGGAGAGAGAGAGAGAGTCAAAGGGGGGCTGTATTTATAGTCGCGTATAACATTACTGCGTGAAACACAGCTCAGAGTTGCCATCATCATCAGACAGAGACACCTCCAAGTTCTACGGATGCGAAAACATTCCGCGGATTAGCGAAATTTACTGTTTTGCCCTCGCTGTGGCCTTCTGTCCCCCGTCATGTTTTTGGGAGACGTGATGTTTCCAGGACACGTTAACAGATGGTGTTTCCGTAATTTCGCTGAAGTTTACAGTTGGTTTCTGAAATTTAAAAAAAAAAACAAAAACTAATTATAAAAAGTAAAAGAATTTTTTTATAATTGTTTATTATTTATTACATGGGATACATAGCAAAACAAAAACTGTAACATGTTACTGATGGACGACAATGTATTTTTAGGTAATGCAAGAAAATCACAGTATTTTTAACACTGTGAGATCAAGAATTGTAAATGCACCTGTATCCGTAACAATAAATGGTGGAACCACCTAAAATATAGAATATTTATTATTTACCATTAATTTATAAAAATATTCTATTATTTAGTATCAAAAAATATTAAAATATAAATAGTAAACAGTAAGTATGTATTTAACGAAATTTGAGAATGACGAATATATTTTTTGTAATCTTTAATTTAAACAGTAAAATTTGTAATCTTGAAAGTGTGACTTTTCTCTCATTTTTTTATTTTAATATCTCTTCAAATTTTATTTCCTTCAATTATTTAAATTTTTAAATATAAATTCTTTAGAAGGAAATGGATTCTATACAAACATTAGAAAAAATATGTATATATATATATATATATTAAAATTGATGGGTCGTACAGTTTGACGTTAATGGGTAGACATACGTAATAATGATATCAATCAATAATAATGAAAAGTGACAAATACTTATTTTGTCACCTTGTACTACGTGTGAAATTTTTTCTTTTTGTTCGTGGGTTTATTTTAACTAAATATATCAGTAAATATATTTGTAATTATATATTTCTAATTGAAGAACAAACACTTTTTTTGTAATAGAATGTATGTGTAGGAATGTATGTATGATATGTGTATGTGTATATGTATGTTATGATGCATGTATATATGTGTGTGATTTATATTTATTTTTCTTATATTATTTTAATATTTTTTATTTTTTATTTTTTAATATCTGATGTGGCAGACTGATAAGAATTCCGGGTTTATTACTTGAGCTTTTATATAAAAGTTTGTTAAAAGTTTAGTTTTTATCTGAAAATTTGTTACAAGTTCATATTTATTTTTATTAATTAAAAATGTTAGTATTTAGTTTGGAATTTTTAGTAAAGTTGAATATTTTCGTTGAGATTCTCCTAATAAATATGTGAACTTTGAAATTTATATAAAGTTTTTTTGTACGGTTGGATTGAACCCAACCCACTAATTATGGGTTAAACATTACTCGATTAATCAAATTTTCAGATTAGATAAAGCCATTAAAAAGCTATTGATTATAAAATTATTATTGATTATTCCTTGTAAAATTTTTCATTAGACACTGTCACACTGATCATTTCATTTAAATATTTATACATATGTATATTAATATATATATATATAGTTTGTTTTATGGATTTACATGTTATAACGCTCTAAAATATGTTTTGCTTATGTACGATGAAAAAAGTACACTATTTTTTTTTGGTAAAAAATAGTACACTATTCAATTGCATGATATGAAATAAGAAGTCTACAATTAAAATCTTCAAAATATCTCAAATTAGAAGATCAATATCCTCTTTCAAATCATCATTATATAGATAAATATGATATTTAAAAGACTTTTTTCGATAAAAATGAAATTATTTAGATTAAAATTATTTATTTTTACCATATTGATAATTTAAATAATAAAAGAAGTCTATATGGATATAGTTTCTAAAAATGAAATAGTAAACGATAACAAAATTTGCAAATCAAAATAATTAATTTAACTAACATGTAAGTGATTATTTAATTATTAAGTATTGGCCTAGACTCTGCATGGTCGGTATTATATTTGGTGTGTGTCTAGTAGGGCTAACGATCATGTGGGGCCCATATTCCTAGAAATGATTATCATTCATCTCCTCTTTTTGACATCCCAACACCACGCCTATATTTTAAAATAATAATAATAATAATAGATTTTCATTTCACATTAGTAAAGAAAATAAAAAGCAAAATTAAAATTAATTTTCCCAAATAATAATAGTTAATATTAAAAATAAATATAATAATCAAACTGTATTTGAAATATCATGTATACCTCTCTCTCTAATTGGGCGAAAATATACCCGATTATAAGATAAAATAGTTTATCCTTAACTTGCAGTGACATACAAATAATTAGTGCACATTAATAGATATAAAATATACAAAATACATTAAAAATATAAAACAATACATTTGTTCATAAGATGTTATTCTCCTAAACTAAATAAAGAACATTTTTAAAATTTAAATCTCTATTTATCAAAAAAAAATCTAAATCTCAAGTGTATTCAGAAACTTTTCGACGTATCAAATAAACAAAAGACATTTTAGTTGTTTGAGTATTTATAAATGTGAAAACTCGTGAAAATGCAAAAAATTCTAAATTAAATTTATTTTATATATATTCCGAATCAGATTTAATCGTATAAAAAATATTATGAATAACAATTGTTGATGGATTCGGCTACATTTATGAAGAACGCAATTGAAAGTAGAGAAAGAGCTAAATAAAGTCAACCTTCCTTTAGCTATTTTCGGAATTGATTTTTATTTCTGGATTTTAGTAAATTTATTTTGAATAACAGTTTTAATTTAATTGTGGCTCTCTTCATAATTTATAATTAAACGAAAAATAGGTTTGAATAACAGTTTTAATTGATTCATCCTATCAAATTTTTATTTTCCGCCTTTGTCTCAGGTCCCGTGTTTAAGTGGTCATTGGAGAGATGATATGCAATTAATTACAGTAAGACATCCACCCGTCTATATTGGATGTAGTTGGATATCTATATTGGATGTATTGGATCCAAGGTCCGGTAAATCATCCTGATTACCAAAAAAAAATTATTTTCATTCGAATTCTGCTCTCTCGTCATGTCGAGAGAGAGAAAGGCATGAGGTAGGCAAAATCATTGTCACATATTCCAAACTATTTATCTTTTTTGTTTTGCAATTGAAATATGAATGTAACTGGAATATAAATAAACAATAACAAAGAATTTTGTCGAACTCTTTTTCTGGTATTTGTATTTCGTTTCTGGTTCACATCTGTTGAATTTAAATCTGAAAATTAAAAGATATAATATATATATATATATATATGAATTAGGGAAAAAATAGTAATTATGTTGTAATGATATCTCATGATTAGCCCATAGGAAGGCGCCGCATCGATCGTTTTTTTTTTTGGGGTCAAGACAATAATTTGTATAATATATTAAATATTATTTATTACAATGGCACTTTTTTACGTCTCGTTATGTTGTAATGTTATTTTAAAAACAATCACAATCATTTGATTCAGGTCAAATTTCATAACTATAAATTAGGAAAAAAAGGCTATTTTAGTCTAATGATCAATTGCAATTTTTATTTACGGTAAGAGTTATTTTAGATATGGTATAATATTCTAAATATTTAAACGTATTTTTATAAAAAAAATTATTACGATTTTTCTGTAACAACAAAAAGCTGAAAAAGCGATTTTTTATATTTTTAAGTTTTATCTATATCTTTAAGAAATTTTCTAGTTAACTTTGATACATTAACATCCAGTTGCCAAAAAAAAAATGGAATGCTACAAAGATTTGTATTTTGTTTCTTTATTTCTCTTACTCTTTTTTTTTGTAATAATAATAATAATAATGGGAAAATCTAAAAAGATTTAGTAAATTTTAAAATAACTATGGTATTAATTTCGAACTTCTAAAATAAATATGAATTAATTGATTTTGATATAAAAAAAGTATTGAACTTTAAATTTTTGACAAAATCTAATCGACAACTTAAAAAAGTTAATGTACAATCTGACGTAGTACATCAAATAAAAAATTAATTATAATTAGATAAAAAATTATAAATATATTAAAAATAGTAGTAGTAGTAGAGACGGTCGGAGGAAGCAACGGTCAGCAAAATGGATAAAGTCATAAAGAGCGTGCGATTCATACGATGATTGCATCTCTTAGTTTAATTGCATTTAAGTTTTTTTAATAATCATATATTTATGAATTTCTAATCAGCATAAATTCAGATTTCATCAAAAGCTATAATTGTTTCTTTATCATAGTTTACCGTCAAATATTTAATTCATATAATCATTATAGAAGTTTTATGAATTCACTGAATAAGAAGAATAATAACGATGAATATGTTTCCATTTCATATTTTTTTTCTTCTCGAATCTATTTTGATTAAGTCGTTGAAATGATAAATCCAGCTTTCCCTAATAATATGATTATTATATTCAATTGTCCAAATTCACCAAAGCGCATCAATTATCAAACTGAATTCACGTTTAATCGATGCTCATTCAAGTGCTCGATAGTGTTATCCTTTGGGCGAGGGAGTGTACATTTTTTCGGGGTTTTTTCAAATTTGTTTTTAAAAAAATTGTGTTCAGTTTTTATAATCATCTTGGGTTATCTTTATTAAAAAATATTTTTTTAGAATATCTATTTCTGTTCGATTGCATATTTAATTAATTCAATTTTAACAAATTATACTCAATTGATATCTTTAATATAATTGTGATTATATGTATTTGGGCGATTGGAATTTGATTTTGTGCTTTTTATAAAGATTTTATGGGTTGTATTATGTGACTAAAAATGCTTAAACGTTATATTAACAGCTTCTTCAATGGTATATTCATCAGTGGGCTTCTTCAAAGGCCCATTAGCTGAAAAGACTATGAAGAGATAAGTAAAGCCCATTATATTACATCCGCTAATATCTAATTATATTTAATCAAATACGAAAACCGATCGAATATGTCCATCAGATTAAAATAAATTTGAATTGAATATAAAAAACTGGATCCAGATTTCTGTAATGTCGGTTCAATTTCGAGCATTGGAATCGCTTTTATTTCCTTGGTGGCATCCTTTGGATCATAATAATATCATCCATATAAAAAAATAAATAATAATATCATCCAAATTATATTTTTTTAATTAAAATAGGGTGAAATTAAATAGGATTGAGAAAATGGGTATTCTTTTACCAGTTTTCGGATTTGTGTTCGAACTATTTTGTCTACAAAATGGATCGAAAAAATCGACTAAATTGGGTTGGATAAGCAAATATAACTAATCTTTTCCGGTTATTACTCTAAGAGAGTAATATGTTGGCATAATTAAATAATGTAATCAATTTAATTTAACCAAAAAAAATATAATCAATTTATCATTTTTATCAACTCTTGATGGAGAGTGCCCTGCCGACGGAAAAGATACTGTTTTCTATTTTCTATTTTCAAAGATAATTTCAATATTTAACGAAATTATAATTTGCAATTTTTAGTTTTATTTTTAATATTTGTATTTTTTTTATATCGCTTTAGTATTCATTGTATTTAAGTGTTGTACTTTGTCTTATATTTTGAATCGTACATTTATCGTGGCGGTGATATGAGCCGACGTGTCAAATTCTATGTCAAACACACAAAACAAAATTTTAAATACACTTTAATGATGTGACGGTCAAATTAATTCCGAGAATACCAGTATTCCCGAATTCGACATCTGACTCCGGTTAAAGATTTTAAATCGGTTCAAATCGGACTTTCCTCTGACCGGTTAAGACATAACCAAAACCGGGCCAATAGATTGTCTGGGACCAGTTCCTGTCTCTTTCAGAAAGAAATCACAGCTACGTTCATATCCAATCCATCACGAATCACAAAACTGAGTTTCAGACAATCCAAACAATATTGAAACTTAGCGATAATCTTCACCACACAATAAGCTTTTTCCATTTAATATTCAATCTCCTTATCTTTTTCCCAGAAAAAAAAAACAAGAACCCTTTATCTGTTACTTTGCCGGGAAAATGGCCGGAGAATATTCCGGGAGCCGCAGCTCCAATACACAACTTCTCGCAGAACTCGAAGCTCTGAGCCAAACCCTTTACCAGAAACCTCAGATTCCCGCCGGCGGTAATCGGAGGACGGCTTCCCTCGCTCTCTCGCGCAGCTCCGTCCCTTCCGTCGTTTCGTCAGCGGATGACGTCAGCACGGCTCAAGCCGACAACCTCGCCGTGTCGCGTCCTCGGTCTCGGCGTCTCTCTCTGTCCCCGTGGCGGTCGAGGTCGAAACTCGCCGAGGAGGAGCCGGAGAGAGAAGTGAAGGTCACGAGATCGAGCTTGTTTCAGAATAAGAGCATTAATAAAACAGAGGAATCGGCGAAGGAGGAGAGGAGAGGGATATGGAACTGGAAGCCGATTCGTGGGTTGTATCGAATCGGGATGCAGAAGCTGAGCTGTTTGTTCTCCGTCGAGGTTGTGGCGGCGCAGAACCTGCCGGCGTCGATGAACGGTCTCCGGCTGGGCGTTTGCGTGAGGAAGAAAGAAACCAAAGACGGTGCGGTTCAGACGATGCCGTGTAGGGTTTCTCAGGGATCGGCCGATTTCGAGGAGACACTGTTCATCAAGTGCCACGTGTACTACTCGCCGGCGAACGGGAAGGGTCCGGCGAAGTTCGAGGCTCGTCCGTTCATGATTTATCTGTTCGCAGTCGACGCGAAAGAGCTCGAGTTCGGGAGGAACGTGGTGGATTTGAGCGAGCTGATTCAAGAGTCGGTGGAGAAGATGAACTATGAGGGAGCTAGGGTTCGTCAATGGGACATTAGTTGGGATTTGTCTGGTAAGGCCAAAGGAGGTGAACTGGTTCTGAAATTAGGGTTTCAGATCATGGAGAAAGACGGAGGCGCCGGGATTTACAGCAAATCGGGCGATTTCGGGACCAGATCACCGAGGATTTTCTCGGGTTCCGTCGCACGCAATCAATCAAAAACCTCGTTTAGTGTCCCGAGCCCTAAGTTAACAAGCCGGAGCGAGGCTGGAGGGATGGAACCCGTATCGGATATCCAAAGGATCGAGCATTTGAATTTGGATGAACCCGAGGAAAAACAGCTCCAGAAAACAGAGGAGCCGAAACAGGGAGTTGAAGATGATCTGCCCGATTTCGAGGTTGTGGATAAAGGAGTTGAGTTTGACGAAGACAAGGAAACTGAAAAATCCGACGGAACGGTCGGGGAAAGGTCATCCGAGATCAAGGAAATCGTGAACGATCCAACGCACATGTTGCGATTAACCGAGCTGGATTCGATCTCGAAGCAGATCAAAGCACTTGAATCGATGATGAAAGAAGATCATATCAGAGTGGACGGAGGGGAAGAGACTGAAACAGAGTCTCAGAAGCTAGACGAAGAAGAAGAGACAGTGACAAAGGAATTCCTTCAGTTACTTGAGGACGAAGAAACCCAAGAACTCAGACTCTATCAGCATAAAATGGAGATTTCTGAGCAAATAATGGATGAATCAGTGGGATCTGAATCCGAAAACTACCTCATGGATCTCGGGAAAGGGATCGGCTGCGTGGTTCAGACAAGAGATGGAGGCTACTTAGTCGCGATGAACCCTTTCGACACCGTGGTCTCGAGGAAGGATCCTCCGAAACTCGTTATGCAGATCTCGAAACCAATTGTGGTACTGTAACAACATTTTATGGCATTCAACACGACATGAATCTGAAACCGAAACTGATTCTCTCTTTGTTACAGGTTCTGCTCTCGGACGGCGAATCAGCTACTGGGTTTGAGCTATTCCACAAAATGGCGGGTTTTGGGAAAGAGCTAAACTCGGTGATATCGTCACTTATGCCGATGGATGAACTGATGGGAAAGACTGCAGAGCAAGTAGCCTTCGAGGGAATCGCCTCGGCGATCATACAGGGACGGAACAAAGAGCTAGCCAACACGAGTGCAGCACGAACTCTGGCTGCAGTGAAAACAATGGCTAACGCAATGAGTAACGGACGAAGAGAACGGATCTTGACTGGAATCTGGAATCTCGACGAGAATCCCCTGAGCCCCGAAGACGTTTTAGCCATCTCCTTGCAGAAACTGGAAGAAATGGCGATCGAAGGTCTGAGAATTCAAGCTGATATGGCGGAAGAAGAACCACCATTCGACGTTGCAGCGGCCAAAACGCATGAGAGTCCTCTGAAATCGACGGTTCCGCTCGACGAGTGGCTCAGTAACAGCTCCAAAGACAGGCGGAAACTGACCCTTATGGCGAGAATTCAACTCCGGGATCCAATGAGGCGATACGAGGCTGTAGGAGGGCCCGTGGTCACGGTGGTCAAAGCCGTGGCAGAGGCGGCTGACGAGGAGAGATACAAGGTTGGGAGTGTGCACGTGGGGGCGGTGAAGCCACCATCCGAGGCGGCGGAGAGGCGGAGGCTGACAGCGGCTCAGTGGCTTGTGGCTTACGGAATGGGGAAGAAAGGGAAGAAACAGAGTGTACGGAAGGAGGAGGAAGAGGAGATGATGTGGAGCTTGTCGTCGAGGGTTATGGCGGATATGTGGCTCAAGACTATCAGAAACCCTGATGTGAGACTGCAGAGTTGAAGAGGGAGAGGGAGATACACAAGTAGATACACACATACGTATATACGTATAAAGTATATATCTGTCAGGTGTGTGTAGACGAAGAGTTCCGTCTCAAAGGGTTGTGCTTTCTCTACGATATACTGTTTGGTGCGTTGATTATTTGTGATTATTCATTGTTTTGAAAGTTTCAAATAAAATGCAACAGCGAGATTAAAGTGGAATATCTTAAACAATACTATGTTATGTTATATCAATCGAATGATTCCATTAAATTATTCCGATCACTAAATAATCATTTGTTAAAATGGTTATTTGTGTTACAAAATCTTCACACTAGTAATTACATAACTAAAACCTACTACAACACAGTACATGTGATGTACAACAATAATTCAGCAAGCCAATCAACCTATGCACGCGTAGACATATATAAACAATATAGTGCGCCTGTATGAATACCAAAATTTGAGACCGGGAGAGAGAGAGAGATTGTATTAACCGGTTCAGGGTCTGGTTAAGCGATCACCGGTTCGACCATTCTCGTCTCCACCAGCGGTGACGTTTGTCGGAGCAGACTCGATATCTCTGACAGAATATGGCCGGAGACCGGTTTCATCGGCCGGAAAATTTTGACCACCTAAGTTTCTACTTGGAAAGCTGTTGAGTTGTCCTGATTTCTCGCTCTTTCTCTTTGCCTTCTTGTGCCATTGCTTTAATGCCTTTGATGTTTGGTGGTCGAACACCGATCTCTTCATCGTCGACCCCATCTGGAAAAAAATTGATTTTTTTTTCAAATGGACTAAATATAGGGTTAGGATAAAAGGGGATGGATGAAATGGAGGCAAGCCACGGGATCCTTTATGATCGTAAAGTTCCCGTACGGGTGAAAGGAAAATTCTACCGTACAGCCATAAGACCCGCATTGATGTATGGTAGTGAGTGTTGGGCGGCAAAAGGACAACATGTGTCCAAAATGTGTGTGGCCGAGATGAGGATGATGTGATGGATGTGTGGACATACACGGATGGATAGAATCCGGAATGAGTGTATTAGAGAGAAATTAGGAGTCGTAACCATAGAAGATAAATTACGGAAAGATCGTTTAAGATGGTTTGACATGTAAAACGTAGACCGCTCGACGCTTCGGTTAGAAAATTAGAGAATCTAAGGATAGAGGTGAAGAAACGAGGAAGGGGTGAACCTAACTTGGGAACGAGTTATTAGGAATGATTTGGAGGTGTTGCAAATCTCAGAGGACATGACGCAAAACCGAAATGAGTGGAAAAGAAGAATTCATGCGGCCGACCCCAAATAAACTTGGGATTAAGACGATGTTGTTGTTGTTGGACTAAATATAGGGTTAGGGTTCATATGTTTTTGTAGAACAAGAGGCCAAGCATTGGAAAGGATACATAACCGGATGTTGATTAAGATGAAGTTTTCAAACAGGGATGAGTCCACATACCTCGAAACCAAGAAGCTGTGTTTTTCTATTAGATGACAAACAATTCAAAATTACACCACGGTGTCCTATTTGAAGAATGTTATCGAATTCTTGGAAATTTTACATGATATCTTCATGTCTGGTGGAATAGTTGGAAATAAATTGGTTAGAGAATGAGGCTAAGTGAAGTTTCCAAATGTTGGCTTATGGGTATGGAAAAAGCACATGGTCTATGTATTGGTATGTAATTGTGGTTTGGGCCAATCTATTCATGAATGGTAGAGACCGTGGATTCACTAAATATGCAAGAATCAGAATTTTAGGAATTGGTCCAACCTGAGTAACAAGGGCGTACAGGGGAAGTGTAATGTAACTGCAGAGGAATTGAACTCCGACACTGAAAAAGAAAGTACATCCACTCATTAGTTAAATATTGGGCCCGAAACCTGGGTTCATAGTTTCTTGTAGCTCAAGAAATTGAAAACGAAACTGAAACTGAAACTGAAACTGAAACTAGATATGGAAAAAAAAGGTTTTATATTAGAGAGCAACTCACCCAAGACAGACTCGGACAATAATAAGAGCGAAATGGTGATGAAAACACGATCTTAAGCCAAACTCATACTGCACCAAGATCCAAGATTCAGTAACTCTCCTTAACTTCATGGTAGAAAATGAGAAACGAAGGATGATCAAGTCAGAGTTGATATAGAGGAAAAGAGTGGAATATATTACCCATATCCAGAAGAAGTACGTAATCTCGAAGGCATTCTGAAAATTTTGGAAACGCAGAACATGTCAGAGCTCAATTTTCAATTCTTGTTTGGATTTTACTTGCTAAAACTAAGAGTGTCGAAATGTTTTCGTTCTCGTAATCATTTCCCATGATCGATGGATAATAAATGAATGTTCTAATCATATGTGAAATGTGTATAATATACCTGAAAGAGCACGAAATGGATCATGTGAAGGATTAGGGCCGGTTGACCAAACCAGAAGTGGCTGTCCGAGACACTGACAAGAGGCATTCCTTGGATCACGGCATGTCTCTCCTGAATCTCTAACGCCATGTCTGATATGATTGCTTGAAGCTTGGTTCCGATTGCTAATGTTAACTTCAGACCAACAACCACAACATTTGATCGTTTTCACAAGTCTCCTTGAGTTCTTAAACCTTTTTTCTTCCTTTCTGTTCTTGTACAGGGAAATTAGTTATTTGGGAGATTAAATCACTTACAGTTGGAGGAACCATGGTGATAACTGCTGTAATGTACCACCCTGAAATCATATTTCCCAGAATATTAGCTTCCAGGCATCGAATATGGAAGAAGACAACGGTAGAAAACCGACAGAGGACTAATTAACTTATGGTGCTTTGTATGTGAAGAGGAAAAATGACTAACCGTGAACATCGAAGAGTAAAAAGAGCATCACGAAAGCCCATAAAGGCGGGCTGTCATTGCAAGAATGATGACAGATTGCATTCGACAACGAAAGAAGGTTATTAAAGCCGAAAATGGAAAATGCAAGGAAAAAGTGTTCAAGGTTTCATGATACCTTATTCCTACGACTACCTTGAAGTCGTCTTCCAAAGACCTTTTGATGTATTTTTGGAAATTAAACTTCATGCCGGGTGACAAATGAACCTGATTGCAGAGTTTTGTTAAAAGAAAATTTTTGGGGATTTCAAGATGGGAGGGACAGTTCAAGGGACTCACACTAATGAACCCATGTCGCATTGTTAAATAGTCAGATTTCCTGACAGACCTTAGCATCTGTCGCAAGAAACAGATCTGAAAAAACAACAAGATACGATTTTCGATTACAAGAGACACCGATAGATCAAACCAAGAACTGCACATTCGGAATCTGCATAATCGTACAATGTAGAAGGAGAATCTATTCCTCGTCCAAGGATTGACATGCTCTCGGACAAACGACGTCTCGTGTGTGAGCCTAAACCTTGAAGGGTCTGCAAGCAGTATAAAAATACGAAAGAACAGTGTCAAATCTATATACAATTACTCGGTCGGATACCAATCTGAGATATATAACAATCTACCATTCATCAGTTCTTGTTCGGTCATGATATCTTGCTCCCACACCTTCCATTCGCGAATCTTCATACAGAAAAACGAATAAGCTACAAATCCGGAGATCGCTCTCTATAATTTATAGAGAGAATATCACACACCATTATACAGTTAGTTACCTTTGCTCTCCCAAGCATCATGGTTATGGCACTGTATATCACATGAAACACAGCCAAAAAGAAAATGAAGATATGAATCTGATGCAAGGCGTTGAGAGAAATAAGCGCCACGTATCCCTGCAGCAACAATACCCAGCTCCATCAACCAAAGAAACAGCCGGTAATTCCATTGTCACGGGCTCACTGTTACTGTCTTCAATCAATACAATTCGACTCTATCATCTTCTCTCACCAACAACATCCCGATTTTTTTTTTCTGAGAAAGGAACACATTCAATACCACGACGAATGAGGCATTACCTCGTCGCAATCCGCTGCAGAAAAGTTAGCTAAAATCCTACGCTCAAGGGAGAGAAGGCGTCTTTCATGGTGAGACTTATGCGATGAGTGTTTATGGTGAACTGTCTTTCTCGACCCCATATCTGAACCATCGTATGGACCGCAGAATGACATTGCTTGCCCAAATCTCGACGGCACACAAATCGTCGCGATGTAGTTTTGCCCAAACGTCAAAAGCAGAGAGATGAATCCCAAAACCATAAGCTCTGGAAAAATCACAGAACAGCAAACGTGAAAACGGTACATAGAAACGAAAAGCGATTATAATCTAAAAAATCTGGAGAAATCATACCGTTTTTTATCTTCAGAAGAGCTTCGAGTAAGGCTTTCTTCTTTCTTTTGTCGAAGAACTGTGACGACGTATGAATGCCAAACATCATGTAAACACGAACCAGAGGATATGCACAGAAATAGTGCATTCAAATCGGTGTATAGAGATTCATGTATACATTACCTCTCCAATTTTGTGGATGAACATTTCCAAGACGATGGAGATCAAGATGATGACGCCGCAAACGGTGGAGACAGCCCACGTCGGGGTTTGATCGAGCTCTCTGGGACCTTCTTCAACATCGTGACCGCCTCCTCCTCCGGCCATTTATCAACCGATGGATCAACAAAAACAATTTCGAGCTTCGCAATCCGATTCCGCAATCATGAAGAGAAAATAAGCGAAGTAATCTGCAGAAGTTGATGTTCGCTGCAGAGAGAGAGAGGCAGAGTTTAGGCGATGGAGGTGTACGGAAACAGGAGAGCGGATTTCCGATTTGATTTTTTTTTTCCTTGGAGATTCTAACGGTATTGAAGTTGGAAGGAATGTACGGAGAAGAACAAATATAGGAAGAACAAAAATGATTATTTTTTTGTTATGAAAAAATAAAATTGGTAACAGAAATAAAAGTTCCAAAGTAAAAAAAAAATGAAACGCCGCTGCCGGGGATCGAACCCGGGTCACCCGCGTGACAGGCGGGAATACTCACCACTATACTACAACGACTTTGATGCTAGGTACAATAAGTATATTGCATTGGCCATTCAACACACATTCGTAACCAAAAATTCAAGACAAAATCTAACACAACGATAGAAAGATGAAGAACCAAAGTCCAAGTTCTGAGGCATTAGAAAAAAAGAAAACCAGATTCGTTGTTTACAATGTGTTTTCCTAGGGGAATCTAGAAGAAGGATGTCTCTGTTGCTGCTGAGATTCTGTCGGCACAAACACTGGAAGTTGGCCTCCTCTCTGAGATCTACCTTGTTGGAAGTAACCCGCCCCCGAGGAGTTCCCTCTCTCTCGGTTGCTTCCTGTGGTTGCAGCTGCTCTGTTCAGATGCTCATTCACCAGAGGTCCTCCGAAAAATATGGATTGCTCGCTGTATACTAACTCTGTTCTGGCTGCCTGAGATGATACGGCACTGGTCCTGGAAGCAGAAGAAACAAATCGCCCAGCTTCTGGATCCCACACCACCGAATTGCTCGCGTTATCAGCAGTAGGGAAGCTTCTTCTCGTGGGCGGGGCCCACGAAATGTTCTGGCTTGGAGAATGTTGAGCCGGTGATGATGATTGGTAAATCGGGTTGAAGTGATCTCGGGTGGATGGTGGCTGATGAGTTGCCGGGCTGCTGATGTTACTGAGACTGTGACCACAAGACTCGGATCCAGCCGTGCTTTCCGGGTGGTATGGGCTCTTCGGAGGGGATATCACCATTTTGGTAGCGTTTCTGCTTTGAAAAGCTTGATGGGTACTAGCAGGACTGCTTCTACCGCTGCTGGAGAGATTATTATCCGAACCGTTGGTATATGGATTGTGTCGGGAACTCAAGGGACGGAGCACTGATGAGGAAGCCCGTGCTTTTGCAGCTGCCTTAGCCGCCTCGTTAGGGTCTAATTTCGCAAGCTTCAATGCGCTGATTCGTACTTGACGGGGAGGTGGCTTCTTCTGCGCAACCGTGTCTGGATCTATGGTGGATGGTACAGGTCCAGGTTCCAGATGCTGGATAACATCATCCTGTTATGCAAGAAGACGTACAATCAACCCAGCCATCCCATTTTCTTCGACATTTCCCGACACATAGCAAAGGTTAAACAAAAAAAAAGAACCGGGTTTTACCTGTTGATCCATGAAGATTCTGGGAGGGGTACACAAGGAAGTACCCCGATATTGCAATCCCAATCCTAGAGAGCTTCTTCCGCTCACAGCGGTCACAGCCGAGCTTGTTGGTGAAGGTGGCTGACTAGGTTGCTCTCCTCCATCTACTGATGGTCCAGGTGGTTCACTTTGAGCTCTCATGGCTACAACATATTCATATGTTGTGATACCCTGCAACTCATTTTCGCATATCGAGCTCAGTTTCATGGTTTATCCATGGCGTTGCAGGAAGGTGAGAGAGAGACCAAGGTTCCGTAATGAAGTTCAGAAAACAAACCTTTCGGATTAAAATTATATGGAAAAAGAAAAGCTCTCCTAGAGGTATTGTTGCAAGAAGCGACAGAGCAGTACAAATAGCCTGTGAGATTCACATTAAGTAAATAAATCAGAATCAGCGAATAAACTTCTTGGACTAAAGAGACGGTTTTGGGTGTAATTTTTTACCACAACAGTTGCAAATGGAGGACGGGAGAATCCAACCCCGAGCTTCTCTGTTATTTGGTGTTCCATTGCCTTATGGTCCACAAAACACCGAACAAAAACCGCGACCCCAACTCCAAATTCGACAATAAGCTGTTTCATATTTCGAGCCAAGTCAAGTTTGGCTCGGGGCAAAGGTAAAAGTGGTGACAGAAAAAGTAATGAACTTTTGTTCAGAGACATACCCAGATGAGGCTTGTGGCCATAAGACACACAAAGGTGACATAGTTTTTCCGTCCCACACAATTGTTAAGCCACTGAGGCAAAGATGCTTAAAGTTTTCAGTAGAAACTAAAACAGTTTAGCCGAAAAAACAAATAATAGGAAGGATATTGTAGTAAAATCTGAACAAACCAAGATATACATTTTTCTATCACATACCCGGCAATGATGATCAAACCCATCAACACATTTGCCACAGCTTCGACAGTGCTTGCTGAATTTCCGTACCTTCGATAAAATTGGAGAAAAAGAACGGGGAAGAAACCATCAAAGATGTGACAAAAATCGATAACTTTAGCCAGACGGAGGCAGAAATAGTCAAAACTTTAAAAAACTGTTTCAATCGGATGAAATCCTAGAGATTCACAATTTTTGGAAAATTTGAGAGAGTGTATTATCATACCTCAGCATTGCACAATGTGCAGAACAGAGCTTCTTCTTCACCCGACTGCTCCTGCTCGGCATCTTTACGGCAATCTCCAATCACTAAACAACCACAAAAGAATCTTCCTAAAGCAGAACAACAACCCGAGCCGTGTTTAGTATACTGTCCTCCATGCTTTAGACCTTCGCCACCGGATTCCTCAACAGAGGACGCAATCCCTGGACACAAAAGAACAACACTTTTCCACCCTTAAGTTTCCAATTGATTTACAAAAGTAAAGCAATTAAGTTTATGGCATCATTCGTTACCATTCTGTGACTTATGGGCCGGCGTCTTATCAGCCTCGATGAAAATTCCTGGATCCGCAGGATCAATGCCAGTGCATCGCACATAGAGAACTAGAACGGAGAAAGCCTACGAAAAGTTTTAAGAGAATGGCTCGTGAGATTAAACTGGTAATTGGGTTCGAGAGAAATAGTTAATATTGCGATCCATTGTTCTTACGAAGAATGAATAAACACCAACTGCGACATATTGGTACAATTCCTTCCCGAGAAATGGAGCAAAGAAGGCGTAGTATGCAACAGAGAGCAAGAAAAAGACGGTTATAGCGACAACCTGCACAACATTACAGGAAATTGCACTGGTGTTAGAGGAAAGATCAAGCCAAGAGAAACAGACCCAGAAACAGACCCATCAAAATTTCAGACAGAAGAATCGAAAAACCAATTGACCAAGATAGTGTAGTTCTAAATGTTCACCTACTGTTCAGCATTACCCATCTAGACACATTGCAGCTAATGATCCTAATAATTTGGTCAAATATGGATATTAATATGAAAATCCCTTGTAGATCTGGGATATATGCATCTTACCAATGCATACGTACATATTCATGTATGTACATGTGTGTGTTCTCTATGCATGAATATACACAAACACAGAAAAATAACAGCTCGGACAAGGGTTGAAAGCGAAATGAACAGAATCAAACAAAGTATTCCTACCAAACATCCAGATACCAACAAATGCTTTAAAAGCCATATTACAACGGATAAAAAACATATAAAAAATCTTCAAAAAAAATACACGTTTTGTACAATTCACCAAAAAACAAATCACGAATGTACACACTTCACAAACCGGAGTCAAATAAAAGACAACACACTTTGAATCTAATCCCCAGAAGCCAAGATAAGACAAAACCCTAAAATTCACAGACAAAAAGGAAAAAGCCGAACCTGAAATGTGTGGGCAGGAAGTTGCCATCCATGTCTTCTAGCCATTGTGATGAGAAACGAGAAAACCCTAAACTAATACCTCGGAAATTCAGGAAAATCCTAAACAACAGCCTAAAACCCGCAATGCAAATCCTTAATCTGAAACGACTTGAAAGGATTTCGAAGGTAAACCCTTTCCGATCTTATTTCTTCCTATTTTTTTTCCTAAGCTCTAAACCTACACTAAGAACAAGCAACATTAAGACCGTGAACCAGGTGTTACAACACCGATTTTAGACGAGCCGTAAAGGAAATTTAGGATTTTTAGGGTTCATCGGCCTGGGTTTTTTACTGATGAGGAAACCCCTTAGGAGGGGAATCAAGCAGCAGTAGAAGAATATAAAGGACTGACCTTAGACTGTGATTTCCCCCTTCCTTATTTTTTTTTCCTGTTATACTCAGAAGGGGAAGTTTCTTTTTTTTTTTCCCTTACCACTAAAAAAAAAGGGAAGTTTTTAATTCTATACCTATCGATGTATTATTCATTGTTCATTTTGACTTATAATTCAAATAATTTTATACATATATTTAGAATATAAATTTTTAAAATTTAAAGTAAACAACTTAAATGGAATCTAAAATTTTAAAAATAAATATTTAAGGGGAAATGAAATTAAATCAAATAATAAAGGATTCGAACACTTACAGAAAAATCATATTATATTATTTTAAAACATTATGAAAGTGAAATATAAAGGAATTATGAAAAATGTTCATCCCTGGTATTATATAATCCATCCATTGGATTTCCTTTAAATGAATGCATGATATCTTAAAAAGCGGCCATGAGTCCATGACCAATTTATTTGAAAATTGCTTTGATGTTTTTTTTTGCTGTTACAAAAATAGTTTTGAATGTTTTAAATTTCATTCTCATTTTTGTCACATAGACTGATATAAGCTGATATAAGTTTGGAGAGTGATGAAATATATTTTGCTCCTCCATATATACGAATGTTTTAGTATGTTTAAATTTAAAAATTTTAAGAATTTGAAATTTGAAATTTAATTTTGTATGTATAGGTTTTGGATATCTAAATTTTGGTATTATTGTATTTAAATCAAAGTTTTATAAAACAACTAACAGAAATTTTATATTTTTAATAAAAATATGTCTTTGTAATTTTAAAAATATTAACATAATTTTGTAATTTTAAAAATAATTTTATCATTTTTAATAAATAGAAAAAATGTGACATTGAGATATATAAATTTGTATTCAAATTATGGATTAGAAAAAGTATATGAATTTATATCCAAATTAGATATATATCTATATAATATTTTTATATATTATGTAGACTAAAATTTTAAATAATATATTGCAACAAATATAGTCAAATTACTATTTATCACCTTGAGATTCCAATCATTTTTTAATCATTATTATTGAGTTGTAGAAAAAAAACTAATTTAGTGAGATTTTATATAATGATTAATGGACTATATTGGCCCATGAAAAAAAGAACCTCAATACAAACTTAGAAAAAAAAACTAATTAAATAATTCAGCCAGAAATATATTTTTCAATCTATATGCATAGACTTAATTTTCTAAGGGGATATGATATGTGGTTTGTCACTTTGTTGTGTATTCCATTTAGATCTAATGACTAATCCTTCTTTTCACTAATACTTGCTACTTATGGAGCTTGCAACCAAAGCAAACATAATTTAGTTTTAAATTTTAATACTTTAAATGTATATTATATATATATATATATACATGATGATATGTAGTACTGTGTAGTTTTTTGCTCGTACAATATATATATATATATATATATCTTATAAATGGAGACAGGTACAAGTTCCAATTAAAAAATGATGGAGGAAGATAGTTGGTTGTTACGGCATCTTTAATTTTATTTTTATTTTAAATTCTAAAAAATTAGACTAATTTCTTTAAAATTGAGAACATCAATGGAAAACGAATATTTCAAAAGATAAGGTTATATGATTTCAATTATTTTTATCTTACATTCAAAGGGTTAAAATTTTTTGAAAGAAAAAAAAAGTTAATACGTTTTGGAATTTCCTTGTCCAAATCGCAAAAGATAAGGTTTCTTATTGTAAATTTGAAATTATGATACATAATAATAGTATATAACCTTATACAATTTTTAAATCAATCGTAAATATATAATAATAGTATATAATCTTATACAATTTTTAAAAATATTTTATTAATTTTATGTATTTTTTTTATTTGATTTGATATGTTATTAAGCTATCATTGCACCAACAAAAAAAGAAGTTGCGAGGGGATAAGATGTCAAAGTCATATAGCAACAAACTCAGCCGACAAAAGTTTAATGAGAATCTCAACGTCATGAGTGTTATCCGTTAAAATTCGTTATATTCAGTAACTTGAAAAAAACCCACAAATTAATTTCATCATAAGAAATTGACGTAAGTTTTTTTTTTGTTAAAGAATTCACGTAAGTTCTTTTTAGAATCCTAAGTGAATATTTTTTTGGTTGAATTTTGTGGGAAAATTGTGGGCTTCTCCTCTCCTTTTTTTTAAATTAAATATTGTAGAGTCAAATAGTATTTGTTGATGGGAAGAAATCATAACTTTTTATAAAATACGTACGGAAAATTAATGTGACTATATTACAGAATTCGCTCTTTTTTGTTGTTTTAGGAGTATGATTCAAATTCGGTTATTTCGAAATAATATGGAGATTAGTTTAATTCTTGCTTATTTTGGAAGAAACAACAAACTTTTTATGAATGAAATAAATTTTAGTTTTGACCTTTTTTTTGTTTATTTTGAATTCGTTTTTATTTTTTTATTTTATTTTTATTTTTACCATATATGGAATAATTCAAATTAAAATTAAAGGAAGACAAGTCTCCAATTAGGAAAATTTTAAGGTACCATAACTTCTATCTATAAATTTTTGAATTCTAATTTTATATCCTAGATTTTAAATATAAGGAAATTTTTGCATAGTCTTAGATATCTATAATAAAATTGGTAAAAAGATTAAAGATAATTTTATGGTTTAAATGAATAGGATTACTGTAATATTTCAAAATTAAGGGGTAATTTTTAATACATATAAAATTATTTTTAATCATGTTGAATACGGATCTGTAAAATAATAAAATTTTATTCAAATCCAATATATGAATTTGATATATTGAATACGAATTTGTGAATATCCACAGGTCAAATTAAAAGGTAATACGCTTTCCAAACACGTCCAATACTCTTTATTATGGTAAAATATGTAGGTGTAGATATAACGTGGTGAATAATAATATCGAGAGAAAAAAATTGGGAAGAGAAAAATATTATATCATTTAATTATAATTATGATTTTAAATTAATCATAATTAATTAATACAACTATATAAGTTTTTAAATCTAAACCACCATTGGTTTATAGATATATTTAAATGATCTAACCATTATTTTTTTTATTGAACCCAAATGATCTATTTTTAATTATAATATTCTTCCTTAACGTGTACCTAATCTTCTTCTTTTTTCACATATCCAAAAATAAATATTTTTTATAAATATAATCATTGCAAATTCTCTAATCCAAATACATGTATTAAATGTACTCTTTTTTTTTAAACCGGAAACTTTCAATAAAAAGATTCCAACGACTGAAATAGCTTCCGGTTTTGGATGAACCGGTCGCGGCTCGACCAGTCTACCGGCCGGTCGAAGCTATCAATATGACAATATGTGCCCAAGTTCTCGTGTCTATGGCATGCACAGCATGACATGATTCTCCTAAAACACGACACGATGTCTCGTAAAAAACGGCGTGCAATTGGAACAAGCTAACTCTCTTGCTCAGACGTGAGAAGTCAGAACTCTCGGGAGCATTTTCCCGTTACGAAGCATTTTCCCGAGAAACAAACAGAAACATTTTAGAAGATGAGGGCACTGTCGACGCAATACTTCGGCAATATTATCCTCGGCAAAGCTTCTCCAACCATCAGCAGAAGAGTTTTTGCTGCGAAATTAAGCTCAGAACGGTGTGTACCGATGTGCACTGAAGATCCAGAGATGAAGGATTTGATCGAGTATCTGGATTCTCTGAAGAACTATGAGAAATCGGGTGTGCCCAAGGGAGCGGGGACGGATTCCTACGACGGGTTCGATCTAGGTCGAATGAAGCGCCTCATGCATCGCCTCGGTAATCCTCAGTCGAATTACAAGGTTTGCGGTCTCTTTTGCTCTTTCCTGCTTGGTTTCTGAGAAAACGCCGAAATGTTGACGGATTCGAACTCTATGAAGTGTATAACTGGACGAGTTTTCATGCTCGTGTCATGAACTTCGGATCCCCCTATTTGTATTGTCCCTGAGAAAATATGGTTGGTAAAATTGATTCAAGCCTCTTAATTGATTACTACTTTGCATAATCTTACTGAAGCAATTATTGCGAGAAGAAGCAATGCCGACTTAGCATTTACAGTTGTTGGGAGGCCAATTATTCTTACCCTGATGCTTTTGGATTTAGTTTAGGACATTGGGCTGCATGATTTTTAGATTACTGATACATCATTGTGGATTTTCAAGGCGAAATAACGATTATGGCAGTGATTTGTAGACCGTTCATGTTGCCGGGACAAAGGGAAAAGGGTCCACTGCTGCTTTTATCTCCAATATATTACGGTCAGGTGGATATTCGGTCGGTTGTTATTCGAGGTACGATCCTCTTGTTTACATGAAATAGAATATTGTCAATGAACTGGGAGATTATAATTGGCTTGTGCTTTTTGATACTGCTAACTTCAACTCTCTCCAGTATTGGTATTCCTTATGTATTATTTGTGTACCATATAGTTTTCCATTACAAGAATCTTCTTTTTTTGAGCAGCCCACATATTTTGAGTATAAAGGAACGCATGACCATTGGAGGATACGGGGATCCAGTGTCTGCATCGACTCTGAATGATCTTTTCTATACAATCAAGCCGGTTCTTGATCAGGCAATTGAAATGGAAAATGGTTGCTTGAGTCATTTTGAGGTATCTTTTTTTCTATGGCATCTTTCATGTTTTGCTTGCTGCTAGTGAAGCTTCCCCTGTATCTTCTGTCTTCGTATGATTTCAAGGAGAAGAAACATGCTTTTGTACTGAGTTCCTCCTTCTAGACATTATATAACTCAGATTTATTTGTCATTTGGCAGATTCTCACTGGAATAGCCTTTTCATTATTTGCCAAGGAAAATGTTGATATTGCAGTTGTAGAGGTTGGTGATTGCTCATCTTTTACTCATATTACCGTACAAAAGCTTATATAATTTTAATATTTTATCTCGCTTTCTCATATTCCTGGTCTTGGGTTATGCTGATTTTTTTTTATATGTGATAGGCTGGCCTAGGAGGCGCTCGGGATGCTACAAATATAATTGAAAGTTCTGATCTTTCTGCATCAGTCATAACAACAATAGGTGAAGAACATATGGCTGCGCTCGGGGGCTCCTTGGAAAGCATAACAGTGGCTAAATCAGGAATTATCAAACATGGTCGTCCAGTTAGGTGGATTTTCCCTGTAAAATTCATTTAAATGGAAATTTACAATATCCGTCTATTGATATGCAGTGTATTTGCTGATCTCTTTTAATAACCTTGACAGAATCGTTGTTTCCCCCTAAATCCTGTAGGTAATATTAGGTGGCCCATTTCTTCCTCATATCGAAGCCATTCTACATGATAAAGCAGTGTCCATGTCATCGTCAGTTATATTGGCATCTGACGTTGGAATTAGTTCTTCAATTAAAGGCATCATCAACACAAATGGGGGAATGCAATGTGATATCATAATACGGAATGAAAGAGATGATGATCCAGTAGGTTCTAGAAATTGTTTTCGGTGTTCTTATCTGAAACAAGAACATATAGTTTATGTTGAAATCATATTACTTATCAAATTTTGGTGTATAATTTTCATAACAACAGATTATAGAGCTTGATGACATAAATCTGCGCATGCTTGGGCATCATCAGCTCCAAAATGCAGTTACTGCCACATGTGTGGCCCTCTGCCTTCGCAATCAGGGTAAGTATGTCAATATCTTTTTCTTTTCAGAGAAAAGAAGAAAAAAGAGAAAAGAGGAGAAGAAAGTCTGTCAAAGGAACCAGTGAGGATTATATGCATAATGCATTTCAGTGCAGTGTTGGAATCTGCTAATATTGTATATACATATGTTCATCTCTTTGTGGGTTTTCTATAAAGTTTACTGTAATCTCACTCGGGTAATATTACTAACATAAAGTTAGTTCTTAACGATGGGCAAGTGAAATATTCTGATGATATCCATACAACTGTCGGAACTGAACTGAAGCATTCATTGCCCAATTAATTAAAAAAATTTAGCTTGTTTCTCTGATGGATTGATCAGGATGGAGTGTGACTGATGAAGCTATTCGGGTTGGTTTGGAGAATACACATTTACTTGGGAGATGTCAGTTTCTAACATCCAAAGAAGCAGAGTCTATACAGTTACCTGGAGCTACAGTGCTGCTTGATGGAGGTTATTCTCCTTGTCTTTTTGAGTTTTCAAATCAAAGGCCATTTTATCATTAGTTTGAGTTTTGTTCCTAATAAAGTCATTTGATTTGGGTTTATGTCTTCGAAGGATTACAATAGCACCCGAAATAGTCCGTGACATCATCTTTTTGAATGTTTGGGGTGTCAATCTTTTTGTTTATCCTGTTGAACTCGTTATAGTTTTCGTCATACATTTAAATTCCCGGTCGAAAACCGTAAAAAAAAAAAAAAAAGTTTATATATTTTCCTTGTGCGTTTGCAGCCCACACCCAAGAATCGGCGAGAGCCTTGAGGGACATGATAAGTATGACATTTCCTGGCCAGAAACTGGCATTTGTGGTTTCAATGGCCAGCGACAAAGATCATTTGGGTTTTGCAAAAGAACTTCTCTCAGGTTTTTAATGATCTTCCATTTTCTGTTTTCCCGTAAATCATTTACAGTACGATTGAAGAAATCAATATCATAAACTCAGATGGAAATAAAAAAGACCGAAGAGTATAGATTGTGATTTCTTCTCCAGTTCTATTTCAATTCACTACATGGACTTTTCCATTCGATAAAAACACCAAGTATGATACCATTTCTGTTCTCATTTCATTTCACAATTATAGGTCAACGACCCGAAGCCGCATTCCTAACAGAAGCTGACATTGCCGGAGCCAAGACCCGAGCAACTTCCTCGTCCTCATTGACAGATACTTGGATCAAAGCTGCTGATGAACTCGGCATTTGCAGTACTGTTCTCCTAAATAACGATATGGATTGCCTCACTACAGCATCAAAAGGCACAGTTATATTGGGAGCCGAGAGTTCGTTGAAGATTGCATTAAGACTTGCCTATAAGACTCTCAACGATGGCGAGGGCATCGTTGTAGTCACAGGCTCTCTTCATATCGTGTCTTCAGTGCTAGCTTCTGTCCAAACCTAGATTTCTTGTTCTTCTGGATACTGCAGTGTCAAGATTTGGACAAGATTTATGTAACCATAGCGATCTTGGTTTAGCTTTCTCTGTTTTCTCTGTTTTGTTTCTCGTTGTTGCATCCTAATCTTGTTTGGTTAGGTTTTACATTATAAATTGCTAAAGGTTTTGGGTAAATTGAAATATGTAAAAAGTTTGATGTCAAAACTTAATTGATCAGAGTGTTTAGGGCTTCCCCTCGAAACCTCTAGCTCATTTGAAAGGTTCCTGTCCAGCGCAAGGGACTGAATTTTTTTAACCATTTATTGAGCTTTCAAGCTTAGATATCATCGAACTCGTATATTTCGTTCTTCTTCCTGCCAAATGCTCTGAGAAATCTCAGTTTCTTCTTCTTCGTTGTTGGTACTCCTCTCTCGCTCGAGTTCCGTCAATGGCGGCTATTTCTAGCTCGTTGGTTCTATCGAAGAATTCTCAACTTCATCCATCATCTGGTAAGCCCTCGGTGTCCCCTTCCATCTCCTGACTCGATCTTTATTGCGATCTTTACAGTTTCTGCCTGTTGAAAGATCTCGATTTGTAAACGGTTAGATCCTTTTTAGTTGGTGAAACTTGACGTTTCCTTGAATCATTGGTGTTTTGCTTCGGATTTCGTGGTATTTGTCGCATTTATATGATGTAGTTCGAGAGGTTTCGGTAAATTTTTCGATATTGGAGGATTCAGGTGAAATCTTATCTTAGTAGATTCATCGATGGAGGTTCGATACGGTTGTTGCTCGTCTTTATGTTTTTCTTTGTGACATCTTTTGTGGTTTTGAAACTTCCAGCATGAGAATCTGAGCTTCCACACTTCCGAAAAAATATGGGGAAGTAGCGTAAGACTGATAGAATTTTGATTTAGCTTAACGGTATCTACCGCTGATGTTTGGGCCGTTTGTTGTTTGAATTTGGATCCTGTCGGTTGCCAGTGTGGATATAAGGCTGAGAGTAATGAGTCCGGTGTCTCTGTCGTAATAGATTCTACGATATTGGAGGGTTTAAGTGAAAGATTATCTTAGTAGATTCATCAATGGAGGTTTGATATGGTTATCGCTCATCTTTTTGTTTTTCTCTGTGACATATTATGTGGTTTTGAAACTTACAGCATGAGAATCTGAACTTCCAAACTTCCAGAAAACATGGAAATTAGCGTAAGACTGATAGAATATTCAATTTAGCTTAATGGTATCTACCACTGACATTTCGATTGTTTGTCGTTCGAAGTTGGATCCTGTCTGTTGTCTGTATGAATATAAGGCTGAGAATAATGAGTTTTTGTGTGGTGGTGTCTATGTCTTCTTTGTGGTTGTTTTCGCAATATGGTTGAAGATTATTGCAATTTATTTCTATGATATAAGTGTCCATGCTTGATTCTCTTCCTTCAACCTGCATCTGAGTCCGATGATTGGCATAGTTTGGATCTCATGAAACCTCCCCGCTTATACCAAAGTCCCCCGTCTTAGTTATTCATTATTATGAATCTAAACATTCATTTTGTTATCACTGTAAGTATGCTTTCTTATTTCCATTTCCTGTGAGGTTTTGATGTGATAAGCACCTGATTTTTTTAGTACAAGCAGCTTCTGTACTTGTATCAGTCTTTCATTCCCTCTCTCTCATTCATATGTTATCCTACTAGGCATGTGGACTTGGACCTCACAATTCTGTATTTATTCTCACTAAAATTTCGTTCTAGGCCTTTATCTGAAGCCACGGAGTCAAGTCCTTGGGAGTTGGCGTTCTGTCAATGTTTCCTTTGGACTGAATGGCTCCAACAAACTACAGCTTTCTTCTCATAGAAGCAGAAAGCCCCTTACCGTTCAAGCAGTATATAGGTATAGAGTTGGTTATTTGTTTTCTATTTTTATTTAAAATTTTGATAAATGATTGTTGAAAAATGAGAGATCTTCTGAACGGTGACGAAAATAACCATTCGTTATGAGTAATCCTTGACGCTTTCTGGACATAGTGATGAGTAATTGATACGCTATGACCATGCTTGAACAACTTACGCCTGAATAAAATTAAACTGTGGCTTCATTTCCTGCATTCCTCACGTTTACAAGTGCCAACTCATGTCTCTATATCTATCTTGATTCTAATATCATTTGAATTGACAGAGATGACGACGGGCCAAGCAGCACAGGCCTATTTGTTGGAGGTTTTATTTTGGGAGGACTCATAGTGGGCGCCCTTGGATGTGTATATGCTCCACAGGTGATAAGTTTAACATGGTTTAATTGACGGTCATTGGTTGGGCTTGAAGTTATTTTTCTCGAACCTATGTATTTCTAGATTAAGATCAGACAATGAAATTTGTAATGGATGTATATTTACAGTTTCCGTTGCTATTGTCCTGCTGACGATATAATCAGGGAATATGGTAATGGTAGATGGGATGCATCTTACTCTGAAAAAGAATTCCACCAGAATTGCTTTGGAACTTCAACAAGTTTCCTGTTTGTGGTATTTTCTTAGACCATCACAATTTCTTTTCACTTAATTTGCAGATCAGCAAGGCTCTAGCTGGAGCAGATCGAAAGGATCTCATGAGGAAATTGCCGAAATTCATATATGATGAGGAAAAGGCTTTGGAGGTGAGTCTGCACTGTTATAATGATCCTTAGGACTTACATCCTTCAGTTTTGGCGGTTCTTAGGTGCAATTTGACTTGTATGTTGGTGAATATTGCTGAGCGCGATGCTCGCATAAATTTACCATCTGTCGTATTTTTCGTGATTCACTCTCATGTTATTTTATGTTTCACTATTTCTTCTCGTGATATCATATCATGCAGAAAACACGGAAGGTATTAGCCGAGAAGATTGCTCAGCTCAACTCTGCTATCGACGATGTGTCCTCTCAGCTCCGATCAGAGGACACCCCCAATGGTGCAACCAGCAACACCGAGGAAGTCGAGGCTGCGATATGAAATCTTCAGTTCTAGTCTTTAATCACCAGAAATACTTATAATTGATCGTGTTTCCGATCTAATGATGTATTAACTTTGCATCTCTCTTGTCTCTTCTTCAAAGGACCTCCTGTCTTTTCTCATTCTATTCGGTGTTCTTTACCCCTGGGAGGAAGCTTTGACTACTAAGTTTCCAGTAACGTTGTCAGCTTGGATTATAGAAAGCATTTGTTTTAAGACGGTACATTTGCTTGATGTTGAATGATCGTTAACTATGACAAATCTTCAGGTACTTGTGTTATGGCCAAACCGGGTTAAGCTCAATTGTTGGTGAATGACGGTCGAGGCCACGCCACAGTGTTATGATTCTAGTAGATTTTTCAGGTAACTATCTTCAGATCTCGTGGATTCGACGGGCCATCGGATATCTCGTGCCGATTCAAGAAACAAATCGTGGTTCGGATGGAGCAAATGTGATCAGATATGAATCCAGAATTCATCGGTTATATGGGAATGAAGCTATTAGATATGTGAACTTGGTATCTTTTCTTTGAGGTGATTTCTGTGCCATGAGAAAGCAAAGTTGCCTTCAGCCAGAAGCTGCACGTAAAAATATCTCATGAGTTGGAAAACAAAACAAGGACTTAAAGAGACTTGTGACTGAGATTCATTGACTCTCATGGCTCCTTCACACCAATCTTATCCCAATGTATCTGATCCACACATCATATTCACCACATATTTGTTTGCTTCACTCTCAGCCATGGATTACTTGTCTGAAAACAAAACAAAGTGTATATTATATATTATGTATATATATTCTCATGGAGAATATCAGGCCGTGTTCTAGCTTCTTCACCCTGCAGCCATGGCGACCCACGCAGCTCTCGCGGCCTCTAGGATTCCCGTGAACCCGAGGTTCCATTCTAAGAGCAACGTCAACTCTTTCCATGCTCAATGCTCCTCCAAGGTACGGATCGTGTATGTTCCCATGTGTCTGTTCATGCTTTTAGCATTTGTTTCGCTTCACGGTTTAGTTACTGGCTCTTGCAGAGGGTAGAGTTCGCAGAATTCGCCGGTTTGAGATCCAGTGGTTGCATGGTGTACAGCAAGAACGGCGGGGATTCATCCTTCTTCGATGCTGTGGCTTCACAACTCACCCCAAAGGTGATTCAATCGTTTTCTGTATCTATAGTTTGAATGTGGTCAGGATGAGTTTGAGATCATGGTTCAGTAATATATGTATATATAGGCTGTGGCGGCCGCTCCTGTTAGAGGAGAGACTGTGGCCAAGCTGAAGGTTGCCATCAATGGGTTTGGACGTATTGGTAGGAACTTCCTCAGGTGCTGGCACGGCCGCAAGGACTCTCCCCTCGAAGTCGTGGTGGTGAACGACAGCGGCGGTGTCAAGAACGTAAGTCCATAAAAAAAACAAGAAACAGAAGCAACAATCACACGTTCTTATTTTCTCGAACAGTTTGATGCTTAGTTGTTGAAAGCTTGTCTCAGGCCTCCCACCTGCTGAAATATGACTCGATGCTTGGAACCTTCAAGGCTGATGTAAAAATTGTGAACAATGAGACCATCAGCGTTGATGGTAAACTCATCAAGGTTGTCTCCAGCAGAGACCCTCTCAAGCTTCCCTGGGCTGAGCTCGGCATCGACATTGTTATTGAGGTAACTAGATTTCTTCCATGATGTGGTTACATACATACATAGGATAGGTGTTTATGAGTGTGATTGTTGTGGTGATCAGGGAACAGGAGTGTTTGTTGATGGTCCTGGAGCAGGGAAGCACATCCAAGCTGGAGCCAAGAAGGTTATCATCACTGCTCCGGCCAAAGGTGCCGATATCCCCACCTATGTCGTCGGGGTCAACGAGAAAGACTATTCTCACGAGGTCGCAAACATCGTAAGGTCAGTTTTTTTTTTTTTGAAGACCAACTTTTCCCAAAGGAAGATTAAAACAATGTGTGAAGCATGTTGATTGAATATGATGGCTTCTCTCTTTCAGCAATGCCTCTTGCACCACTAACTGCTTGGCTCCCTTCGTGAAGGTCATGGATGAGGAATTTGGTAACGTTCTTCTCCACGGCTCGGTTTTTGGTTTATTCGCTGGATCTATCTGAAAGCTTAAAGCTCGTTAGGCTTGGAACTCGGAGGCTACTTATAATCTCTGAAATGATTTGCAGGAATTGTCAAGGGAACAATGACAACCACACACTCCTACACTGGGGACCAGGTAAATTTATCTCTACCATGCCGAAGAAACTGGTTGTTCTTATGAAATGGGATGTTGTTTGGATCAAGGAGGAGAATTTAACAGATGGGTTTTATTTGAATCAGCAGAAACTTGCGTTGGATCTGGTTGATTCATAAATTAGCAGATGGGTGTTCTTGAATTGACTGAAAAACCTAACATTTAATCCAGTCAAGACGATGAACCTTGGAAACAATGTAGTAGTAATTCACATCTCACCATTTTGACATATCCCCGAGATAACGAACTTCTTTTTCCGCGTCGTTTCTGTTGCGATGTTTCAGAGGCTTTTAGATGCATCACACAGGGATTTACGGCGTGCAAGAGCAGCGGCACTGAACATAGTACCGACGAGCACGGGTGCAGCCAAGGCGGTGTCATTGGTCCTGCCTCAGCTCAAGGGCAAACTCAACGGCATTGCACTTCGTGTCCCTACGCCTAATGTATCGGTGGTGGATCTCGTTGTCAACGTAGAGAAGAAAGGACTGACGGCAGAAGACGTAAACGCTGCCTTCAGAAAGGCGGCTTCCGGTCCCCTCAACGGAATCTTAGACGTATGCGATGTCCCTCTCGTTTCTGTTGATTTCAGATGCTCGGACGTCTCCTCGACCATCGACTCCTCCCTCACCATGGTCATGGGTGATGATATGGTCAAGGTCGTCGCCTGGTACGACAACGAGTGGGGTTACAGGTACGTAGACATTCATAGTTACACTTGTACATATATAAACACGCACGTGTATTGTGGGTGACATGAATAAATATTATGAACTGACTCAAGTTCTGTAACAAAACGAAATGCAGCCAAAGGGTGGTGGACTTGGCGCACCTAGTGGCGAGCAAGTGGCCGGGAGCTGCCGCAGGAAGCAGCGGCGACCCCTTGGAAGATTTCTGCGAGACAAATCCTGCCGACAAGGAATGCAAAGTCTTTGAAGCTTGATTCCTTTCTCTTGAATTTCTTCTTTAATTCTACCAACATTCTCATCATCTCAATAAATTTGGTTTAATCCATATTTACAAAAAAATTGGTTTAATCAACCATTATTCATGCAGTTGATATATACATATATATAATATGCACATGTCAATTGTACTCGTTTCCAATTCGTCTCCAACTTAACTTCCAAATCTTCAAGTACTTATAAAAACACATAGTTCATTAGCATCTACAATCTTTTGTCTTTTGTCTTATATATATATATATATTTGAAGTGAGTCAATCTATGAACACACATGATCAAATATCACCATTTTTTTTCTCCCCTTCAGTGTTATATATACACATACATATTTTTTGTCAAGGATCTTTCAACCCTATAGAAAATGCATAGTTATTAGTTACTACTCATATTGGATAAATTATTAGAATCAAGTTAACTCAATAAAACCCAAGTTTGGGTGATCTATTAATAATAAGACATGCAAAATATTCTTTTACTCCACGATTCAAATCTAAACATGTATGAAAAAGGTCCAAACTTTTTCGGTTTTTTACGAAATAGCTAGATCAAATAACTTCCCCATTTTTTTATGGCTACTAAATTTATCGCAATAAATTTATCTTTTTGGTACATTTTTCCACACCCTTTTTGTATATAAGAAAAGACACGGAGAACAAAATAATTAAAAAAGTGAACAACTGAAAATTTACGAATATAATATGATTCAGTGAGAGGTTATGCCAACATTTTACATATTACAAATAACAGAAAGAATATGTATTTTCGGATCATTTGTTACAATGCTAAATAGGGGGAAAAAATACAAAAGTATTGCCATTTCATTCAATAAAACATGTGCGTGCATGTGGGTGTATATATATATATATATGTATATTAAAAATGAGTAGATTTCATACATGGTGAGATTTAGGATTGCTTCGAGTCCAAGAGTTCGTTATATATATATATAAAGAAGAGGAAGATCGTAACAGCACTTCGAACATAATATTGTAATTTGCGAGAGCAGTGTTTGCCGTTTATGACATGAACAAGAAAACTACATACCATTTCAATCACCTAACACGGCAAGACGTGCAGTGGCTATTCGCTCAGATGAGCAACCGTTTGGTGCACACGCACCTCCTGGCTCCTGTAGAAATTAAAAAGTCAAGATCAAGACCCAGAAAACGGGGGAAAAAAGAAACGAGATAAATTACCAAAATCTGACGAAATGCTGAGAAACTCCGTTGATTTGGGCAAGGATAATTAGAGGGAAATTTGCGAATCCCTATTTCTTAGCTAAGATCTTGAAAAACCCTAACCCCCAATTCTGCAGCTCTATTCAAATCTATCGTCCCAACAGGAGAATTTCATGGTTTTTGAAGCTGTGTTTCAGGGATGAGAAGATCCAGAGTGCTTGAGTTGATTCTAATCCTGCTAGTTTCTCCATTAACGTACTGTTTCAAGACCTCTGAGACCTCGAAGTTCTCACAGATATCTCTTTCCAGTAGAACCTCGAATCCCATTCCGTAAGTTTTTTCGATTCTTCGTTCCCTTCGGTCCATTCCTTAGAAAAAGTCTTTGATTTGATTTGCTTGTGTTTCATCAATTGTTTTGATGGGTCAATCTTAAATTGGATGATAGGTCACGAATATGACTCATCTTCTCTATTCTCTGGGTTTCCCATATGCGTAAAAAACAACGAACTCGGTTGATTGAATCGAATCTATCGATTAAGTTCGATCCGCCTTTGCTTGAAATTGGCTCTGAGTTTATCATGTCATTTTCAATTATTCCGGCTAAAAGTTGGAATCTTGTTCATAGTGATCTGGTTTTTGGATTGTGATACATCTTTTGAATGTACACGATCTCTATTAGCAAGCTGACCAAATTCGTTTCTAATTGTTGGGGTAATGGTTTTTTTCCTTCAGCGATTCTGGTCACGTTCTAGTTTCGACAACAGATGGAACGGTATCATTGGTGGACATGTCTTCGAAGAAAGTGGACTGGACATTCCATACCGGTAAGCCGATCTATTCGTCTTACAAGGCTCAGCATTACCATTATAGCACCGGGGAACATGCCGTGGAGCTTGATGACGACTTTTATATGGACTGCGATAATGATTGGCGTCTATACAACTGCACTATGCATAAAGGAAAATGCATAAACGAGGTATGCTTGACTCTCGTTGATTTCATTTTATGGGATGTTTGGGTTTCTCTGGAAGAATCTTAAAATGTTGTCTTAACACAGATTTTTTGAAATTGTGATTCTAAATTCTTTTTAATGGTATGTGCTTAAACATGGTGAATGCATTTAAAAGATTGACCAAGTATTAGAAAGCCGTGTAACAATGCATAAAAGTTTCGTGTTTTGCACAGTAAATGTCGTGTACGAATTCTACGTTAGGGGCAGACCCTGTTTTTATAATTAAACATATATCTTTTTGTCTTTCAGATAGTTGATGCTCGTGAATTCATTGGAAGGTTGCCATACTCTTTGTCAGATAGGATCATTTTAGGGAAAGTAGATACATCTGTGTTTCTCTTGGACTGGAAGACCGGAAGTTTAGTTAAGACGTACAGATTGGATGACATGATTCCCAATCAAACGGTTGAAAAATCTGAAGGAAATACCGTAGTGATGTCTAAGGAAGGTCCGGCATTATTAGGGTCTGGATTTGAGGAACCAGAATATCGTCGTGAGTTGGTTTACATTGAGAGAAAAGATTATAAACTCCAATGTATATCAAAATTTGGAGATGTTCTATGGAGTGTTTCTTTTGCTGAAATGGAAGCTAAATTACAACATCACGAGGGCATGCAGTTCTTGGGTGGATTATCGGCAGATGATATTCCGCTTACAGATTCCAAGGGCAATAACAAATACCAGCTATCTTATAAGAGGAACTCTCCTGTTGTCCGCTTACTCAACTACAACAATGAAAAACTGTTTTCTAAACTCGGTGGTGTCGATGGAGCTTTGGTTTGGCCCTCCCCGGATGTGAAACCTGAATTACCACCAGCGGGAGGGAATCCTTTGGCACTTCCCGGCAGCGGAGATGCTGAAATCTTCTCCCTTCCCCTACCCAAAAGTGCAATTCCTGAGATCACTAATATTCTTGATGGAAACGCTACAGAGATGGGTTTTGCCGATAAATTTTACGATTCTGTAGTTAGAGGACCCATGCAATATCTGATTTTGGCGGTTATTGCATTATTGTCGGTCTTCGGCTTTGTCTTTCACCATTCAAAACAAAGGAAGCAGATTAAGAAACTTTATGAATCTGAAGGGCAAGCAGTGGTTCCTAAGAAGAAAAAACCGAAGAAAACTAGGAATAACAAGAAAGAGAATGGGTATGCAGATGGAAGGAGAAATGATCCGTCTTTGGAATGGAATGAGAAAAAATCGCTTTTGACCTTCCCCGACCTTGCTGGTAGTGAACTGGAAGGGTATAGGGTTGGCAAACTTTTTGTATCCAACAAGGAAATCGCTAAAGGGAGCAATGGAACCGTTGTGCTCGAGGGATCATATGAAGGCCGTCTAGTGGCAGTTAAGCGTCTCATTCAAACACATCATGATGTGGCTGAGAGGGAGATTTCGATTCTAACGGATTCAGATAAGCATCCGAATATTGTCCGATGGCATGGGGTTGACTATGACAGACACTTTATCTATATTTCGCTCGAGCGTTGTGCTTGTAGCTTGAATGATCTCATCTTTGCTTCATCCAAATCACTTGGGGCCTCGGAAGATACTAGACACGCTTTTCAAATGAATCCGATACTGGAAAACAGTCGGGGAATGGAACTATGGAAGGAAAACGGGCATCCTTCTCCCGTTCTGTTGAAGTTAATGAGGTTCGGTTCATTCTTCCTGACCGATTTAACTTTTCAATAAAACCGTTATGATATCTTTGTATTGTACTATTTCAAAGTAATGTCGTTTTTGTTTCAGGGACATAGTATGTGGTCTAGCACATTTACATGATATCGGGATCATACATCGAGATCTAAAGCCTCAGAATGTGTTAATTGTCAAAAACCAATCTTTATGTGCAAAGCTTTCGGATATGGGCATTAGCAAGCGCTTGCCACCTGACACCAGCGCCTTAACCAAAAGCACAACTGGTAAAAAAAAAAACCCTGTTTTCAGTTTTATCTTGCCGTTCAATCGTTTTCGAGATGATACGAACAACTGATGATAAAAAAACCCGTCTTTTTCTTTGTTTACGTTTTTTTTGGTCTTCCTGTTAATTGATGTAGGTTCTGGAAGTTCCGGGTGGCAGGCACCTGAGCAGCTTCGGAAGGAACCACAAACGAGGGCTATAGATCTCTTCAGCTTAGGATGTGTTCTGTTTTTCTGTATGACAGCGGGGAAGCACCCGTATGGAGACATTTTCGAGAGGGATATTAACGTTTTGAATGATCAAAAAGATCTGTTCTTGGTTGAGAGTCTACCCGAAGCCGTTGATCTTCTCTCTAATCTCCTGAACCCTGATCCAAATCTGAGGTAAAAAGAAAAAAGAAAGCACTTCGGCTTTTGTTTCTCATGGTGATTTCAATGGTGAATCTTTCTGATGTTTTGGAAAATGCAGGCCGAGAGCCGAAGATGTGCAGAATCATCCGGTATTCTGGAGTCCCCAAACGAGACTGTCCTTCCTCCGCGACGTGAGCGATCGGGTCGAGCTGGAAAACCGGGAAGAGGGTTCAGAGCTCTTGGCGGAGCTCGAAAGCACGGCAATGGTGACTCTGAACGGCCGGTGGGACGAGAGGATGGACAGCCATTTCATCGATAACATCGGGAGGTATAGAAGGTACAGGTTCGACAGCGTTCGAGATCTGCTGAGAGTGATCAGGAACAAGCTGAATCATTACAGAGAGCTTCCGGGAGAGATTCAAGGACGGCTTGGAAGCGTTCCCGAGGGGTTTGACAGTTACTTCTCGAGTAGGTTTCCGAAACTGTTGATTGAGGTCTACAAAGTGATTTGCAGATACTGTAAAGACGAAGAGTTCTTTCTCACGTACACTGAGACCCCCGTCATGTAATCCTTGGCTGTAAATAGTAAATACTCCTTTTTTAACCTCTTGGATTAACTACGACGGTGCAGTAATTAATCAGAGATAGACAATTTCAAAATGGGAACAAAACAGAGAAATTATTATTATAAAGGCTACCACCTTTTTTGACAACTTCAAAACGAAAATAAAACAAAAAATAATGAAAATACAACGAATAAAAACGATGCGGTCCATTGGTTGCCATGAGATTGTTTCCAACAACCGTGTTTTAATTTAGTTTTGTGAATGTAACAGCAGTGGATATCTTGGATTTGGTTCGATTTCAATTCTGTTTAGAATTTATTTATTTTTTTTATCTTGGATTTTGATTTGGTTCGATTTTGATCATAATTTTTTTTTCATTTTAGAAAATTTATATCGATTTCTTTTTTTTTTTGTCGGGCCGAAATTGAATGTTCGAGTTGCATGGATCATTGGCCCAAGTTTCGTCCTCGAAGACAAACGAGTGGCTAAGCTTCTAACGACAAACAAACAAAAAAGTCGACGCCCTTAGGTTTTCAACCCTTTCTGCGCTGATTCAGAGATTCGAAGAAGATGGCGTTTATGAGAGGACAGCCACTGGTGACGAAGCTTGCTTTTATGGCGCAGTACATCGTGTTTCCGGGGTCCATAGCCGCGTCTCTCGTTTACACGTATGGGCCGTCTCTCGTTTACACGTATGGGCCGTATGGTTCCTCTTCCTCCAAGGATACCGAGTCATCCAAATAGGTTCGATTTCGATCCCTCTCTGGTTTCTCCTCCGATTTGCTCCATATTTCTTGTGGGGTTAGGGTTTCGGATTTGGTTTGATCGATCGCTTGCCTGCTTTTTAGTGGTGGTTCTGTTATCTTTGTCATCTCTTCTGATACGGAGTATTGGTTTTCGTCCTGAGATCTGTGACGTATGTGTTCATGGAACCATTGTAAGGTATGGTCACTCATGGAGCGCGGAAGATGATTTCTAGAGATTTTCAGGATTTGTATTCATTGCTGTCTGCTTCTGCCTCTTCTTGGCCGTTGATGGTTTTTTGTTCATTGAAAAACTTTGCTCTTCTCTTCTGAAATCTGAAATCAGCTTATTGAATCTAAGCTCGCATAGCGACAATGGCACCTGGATTTCGACCTGATTTATGAGCTGTATAGTCTCTGTGAATCATCTCATTCATTTGTTGCATTTCGACTGCTTGTTCATGAACAAACAAGCGCCATTCAAACACTTTGCTCATCTTCTTTGCAGAAGAAGATCAGTTAAAAAATAAAAATGCATTCTGATAACCAAAGCAAACCCTTTTCTTGGTGCAGGTGACAACTCCGGGGAATGTGTGAATCAAACCCTATCAGGAACCCTTTGCGGTTGGTTGCTTTGTTTCTGCAAATAAACGGATGGAATTCATGTGTCGGAACATGACGAGGCATACCCGAACGAAACTGTCTTGAAATCCCTTTTGTTGGAAACCCTTTTTTGTCGTGTGTTTGTGTTGGGTTATGACTGAATATATCTTTCTTTCTTGCACCGATGATTGGAGTGTGTTTTCTAGGCAACGAGCTCTGGGGTTATGTTTGCCCTCGAGTTTTCGGCTCTCAGTCTTAAACCTAGACGTCAAATGCATGCCGATTCTGGTAGAGAGTATTCGTTGAGAACGTATGATACATTAGATGGCTTTTGCTCTCACATGTCTCTCCTTTTCTTAGGAGGAGAAAAACATTTGGAGTAATTAGAATGTAAAAACACTGATCCCTGTTTAACATTCACTAGCCGATACCGTTCATTAAACTACAAAGGATGACTGGAATTATTGAGGAGATTGTTGATTCCTGTGATGCCAGGTCTACCACCCGAGGACATCCCTCACCGAGCCTCGGGATAGCAGGGCGCTCGACCCCATCATGGTCCGACGAGGTATCGGATGGCCCGATTCAGTTCACTTCTTTTACGCCCATCTGATATGAAACTCCATACAACTACCTGCAATTCAATGTGTGACATTAATCAAGCAGGAGATGTACCATGTCCGCTCTTCATATATCCTGCCATTGTAATTGTAGTTTTCGAGAGCAATGAGACAGAACAGAAATCGTTGTAGTTTCGTTTGGATCCCGACAGGACAGTATGTCGAAGCTCTCTCCTCCTCCCAATGTTTCTATGAAATAACCGAAGTGAGTAAGTGATTCCCATGACGAAATATTGAAGATCATGTTATAAATCATCCAAACACAAAACAAGAAAGGGTTCAAAGGACATGATGCACTCCAAAACCACAAAAAAAAATAAAGAGTTAGAAAAGAGGAAGATCTATATGGCAAAGCAGGTGATGGATTCTGGCTTCATCCTCGGCCTTGAAGCCTTGCATCTTCGGCTCTTCCCATCATCAGTGAGAGTGGATGATGATGATTTGCTACTAATCCCTCGCCCTTTTGGAGCCACGCTTCTTGGATCGCTGGCTTCCACCACGTTGGCTTGCGGTGGAAGCAGAGCAGACCCGAGACGCGGCTGAGGGGATTGGCATATAATGATGCTCCATAGGTACCATAGCAGGGAAACCAACAGCAGGGATTCTGCGCAATTCAATAAAATATTTTTATCATTAGTCTAAGTTTCAGCTATCACGTTCCCCTAATCGTTTACGGAATTATGCTCGTAACCTCATTTCATACCGAACCATCCCATTAACCCAGTTCAGGTCATCTTCAAAGCTTTCATAAGTACAAGTGCACAAAGTTATTGATTTGGTTTGCGATGAAAGCAAGACAACAATCTCCTCTTTTTTTTTTTCCATTTCGATAACTGGACAAGTTTATCTACCCCATCAGAACACCAAACATTTAACAGCAGCAATAATCAAGTTCAGTAGACATATAACACGAGCTTGGTTATTCTTAAACATGGTTTCATGGTATTGCAGCACACAGCACACAGCAACCAGCAGATATCACGAGACCAAAAACTCGATCTTTTTGCGTTTCAGAAAAAACGGAACTAAAAGAAGCAGCAAACCTAAGCAGATGCAAAGGGAAATTGAGATGCTTACCCCATAAGAGCACGGCAGACTCCTGCTTGGCAATGGAAGCATCATATGGTTTGTGACCTTTCTGCAAAAAGAGACGGAGATGTTGGTTTTCCGCCATGAAGCACTGAAGCACCCGGCCCAGTCTCATGCATTCTCTTTCGAGGTACTTGCTCTTTGTCTCTAGGTCCTTTAGATATATCTTCTTCCTCTCCCTGGACCTTACAGCGGCATCTCTATTTCTCAGTTGCCTAAGAGAATAACAATCAATTATCATTCAGAACTCTGACATTCGCACGTTTAAATCTTACGTCCCTCTTCGAATGATCATCATCATACATTGTAACCAAAGGGAAATATCATAATATCACAGCACATATTTCATACAAATCTCACCAGAGAGACATCTATACACGGGTGATGTATTGTTTTCCAGAAACCCAAGTTAAGAATTCCTGTAGACAACATTAATATTTGTCCAAAATGACACAATAACATAGAAACAATCGAACTACATATCACTTCAATGTCGTAGCTGTGTTATCAGTTTATATAACCCAACAACAACAAGAACAAACTAAACTAAAGCAAATGTGAAATCAAACTCATCTGAAACCTACGATTAATTCTAGTAAATATCCACAAATTGGAAGCGAAAGTTCAATTTCGAATTTTATTGCCACGCAAATTCGCCTTCAATGATCAAAATTATACTGCTGTGGAGAACATAAATCAGATGTACCTTCTTCTTTTCTTGGCTACAGAATCGTCTTCCTCTTCATCATCGTCTCTCGCCTCAGGTCCATCGAGACTCTCCTTCTCCGAACTCTCATTTCCTGGATTGTCTGAACCGGCGGAATTTTTCTCCGCTGAAACATCCGCTACCTCCTTTTTAGAAATTCTACACCCCGAATCATCGGAGACATCGGATTCTTTGTCAGCCAAAAACTCGCCGGTACCAGAGCCGTCGGCGGGAGAAGTGATGATAGGTATGTCTGATACCTTTGCGGCGGCGAAATCAACGGAACTAGAACCGCCGGGGGGAGAATCAACCAGTATGTCGCCTAAGAAATCTGAAACCAGTTTCTCGTCTGAACCCAAACAAGCTTGATGGTCTCTGTCGTCATCATCTTTCATCAACATGCTCTCAATCTGTCCGATCCACGGACTCACAGAGTCCGGGGAAGAGGTGGAGAAATCCTCCACCACCGGGGAATCAGAGAGGACCGGAACATCAAAATCTAAGAAGAAACTGTCGTCTACGAACAGATCAAGGCAATCTATTTCATCCGCCATGGCAAAAACCCTAACTCTACGACGCGAAGATCGGGAAAAAAAATAGAAAGAAAAAAATATACAGAAGAACCAAAAAAAAAAAAAAACACTTCAACGCAGAAGACCGTATCTAACGAAACGAAATCTCCATTGAAGGGCGTCTGTGATAAAATCAATGCCCAAACCAAGAGGCATTTATATAAGGTTTACAAAAAGGCGGAGTTTAACAAATGAAAATAAAAAAGAAAATAATATTTATATGATAAACGTGTCGGTTTCGTCCTTGGTGGCCAAGTAAACGTGAAATATAAAAGTCAGTGGGACACGTGTCGGATATATGTACAATAATCTATGTGGTGGCCAATCTTGTGTTTGATGCATCGTAGAACACATGGTCCCGTTAGCAGATGATTATAGCTACCCTTATGCCGTCACGCAGCCAATGAGACCGCTTCGTGAAAAAAAAAGCACGCATCGTTACCGTACACGTGGAACAAAATTGACCGTTCGATGATTTTACTGAGTTCCCAAAGCTCATACAATTTATAAATAAATATATAGTCACCACAAAAAAAAAGTAATAGAAAAAAATATCATATAAATATATCAATTCGTTAAAAATGATAAAAAAAAAATTTGTTAATTTTAAAAAGTATATAAATTTGCAAAATACTATTCAAAATTTTTTTTTATTATCGATGTTAACATGGTTTTGTCGAAAAATATATGTTCAGTCATATTATGTTTAAAAAATTGCGACATCAATAAAAATAAAAATTATATATAAATATATACATATAATATATATATACTTGTTTGTTTACAACCCGATAGTTTATCAAAACTATTTCTAATGTATTGGATTCCATCAAAATAGATAAAATAGTAATGTTAATTTTAAACCGTTCTAATATTGCAACTATGATCCAGCACGTCTCAAACATTTTCGGAATCCTATAAAAAAATATTTAATTTTATTATAATAATTTATATTAAAATATTATTTATATTAATTAATAAATTTAATAATATAACGTTAAAAAATTACTAAAAAAATTATAATTATTAATAATAAATATTATAAAAATATTCTTTACCTAATTTTAAAAAGATAAGACTCCGCAAAATCTGATTTTTGTTATTTATTAAATATTATATTAATAAATATTAATTTTAAACTAATAAATTACCTTAAAAATAATTTTTTTAAATATGGAACTCACTTGTATTGTGGGGCTCTTGAGCCCCTTGGCAGAGAATGAAGGTGGGTTGGACTTCATCTCCCCATCGTTGGGAGACCACCAAGGAACACTTGCCACAAATTAAAGTTGTGTTGTGGTGTGACACCAAAGGACATTCGGTGCAGAGCTCCTGGTCAGGTTCAAGGTTTTTGTGGAAGAGTCTGAAGAGATCTTCTATACATACATATACATACTTATATATACTTAAACATGTATATGTGTATACACGTATTTCACATATATAAAATATGTGTATAATAGACGTATAGATATGTGTATATATATATTCACCACAACAATCTCAACGGTCCGAAAGTAACACAAAGTTGAAGACAGGGTTTTTTTTTTTCCTTTGGTTTCGCAGTTTTCCTTCTTCTCTTGGCTTGGAATCTATCATTACCATAACACAAGTATCACTTGCATAGCCCTTCTCTTCATGCATACAAACTCGACAATCAACATTACAAGACCCTTCACGTTTCCCCTCTTAATCTTATGCCCTTTTTCTTAGTCACCTATAGCTCCCACTTGCTTGCAAGTCCAAACAAACCAAGATGTTATAGAGACTATGCAACGCATTATGCTGCATGTTTTCAGTCATGTCCTACCCAAAGGCTGTGAAAATGTCATAAGCAACAAAAGCCGAGAGGGAGTTACAGCCAGAGCAAGGTCGGAAAACGATGACCAGACGAGATCGGTAGGCCTAGACGAAGAAAGACTTGAGAAAGACGAGCAAGACATGCATTCACTTTGACAAATAAGTTCCTCAACCAAAATACTCCGGCATCCATTGCATTACCCAAGAATTGATGAACACCACAATCACAAATTCCACACACAGACTATCAACAAGCCACTGCCGGGGAATCAGAAACACGAATCACAACCTCGGGTCATAAAAGTTACCGATGTGTCAAAACTTGTTTACCACACACGGATGGAACAGAGAGGATCACTGCCACTTGATAGGAAGCTACTGAAGAAACATAATCCACCCTTGAAACGGATGGATCACCAGATTGGTGAGACCTCAGGGTGGAAAAACACTCTCTATCTCCTACTGAAAATACCACAACTTAAAGAGCAAATTACTATTCCAAGACACGGCTAAAGAACTATGACAGGCAATGCTAGAAAATCCAAAAGGGTAATACATATATTGCAAGAATCCACGGAAAACAAAACCTGAATCGGAAAGAGGACACTGATGTAGAACAATATCAAGTCTGACATAACATGGAAACTTCTGGTTCAGACATTGACTAGAAGCACTAATAAACCATTTTCCACATGAAATAGTCTAAATAAAAACTACAAGAAACGCTCACATTATCATCTAGGAGTTGTTTTCACTCATTAAGTTCCACAGAAGAACACCAATCATGGGATCGAGATTACCGACATCTGGAAAAATCAAAACAAGAACCCAACCCAGTCATACCCTTAAGCTCCTCCATCTTGTTTCTCCTCCCGTTCTCGGTTCCATTGCTCAATTCTTGCTCTCCTTTCCTCGCTTCCTTCTCTCACGGGGCTCCTGCTTCGCCTCGGGCTTCCATGTCTCCTCCTTCCGCCATCCCTCTCCGGCCTATCGGACCTGTCGCTGCTCCTTTTCCCATTTCCGTGTCGGTAGAACTCTCGATCACGGTCTCGGTCCTGATAGTCCTTATTGCGATCACGCCTCTCGTGATCTCTCCTGCCCCGAGGGCTTATACTCCTGCTCCGGCTCCTGCTTCCCCTCCGGTACGATCGCCGGTACCTCCCAAAGAGTTTTCTCCTTAGCTCCCTCGAAACAAGCTTCACGTGCATGAAATTACAGTACCCACCACGGTTACAGTTGTTCTCCTCGTACTGCCGACAAGTAGCTTCACGGAAATCAGTAACCGGAGAAAAATCGGCAATAATGGGTCGACCGGAGTAGAATCTCCCCTGCAGAGCCTGAACCGCCGCAGCAGCTTGATCCTCTTCCTTGAACTGGACATAAACATTGCCAATCATGTGGTCAGCGAGGTTGTCACATACATTGAGACTCTCGATCTCGCCGAACTTGTTGAGTTCCTCGAAGATGTCCTCGTAGAAATCCTCGAAGTGTTCCTGGATCTTACGCGGGTCAAGAGGCTGTCCCTGAGCGTCAACGCCTGGTGTGATCATGTCCGGTCGCTGGTACATGTTGGAGAGGAGGAGCGTCGGAGAGATGGTCGGTCGATTGTGGAGACGCGAGCACCTGTCGCCGTGACGACAAGCTCCGATTTTGAAGTAGAACGGACAGTTCACTCGGTCCTTCTCGGTACCGTAGATCGACGCTAAGTGCTCCGCCATGGCTGAATCGCAATCGGTGTAATCGCTGCCGCCAAATCGATCTCAGATTCTGGGGCTCTTAGCCCTATAGTTTTCAGAAAAAACGGTGTGTGGGAAAAAGGAAAGGGCGAAGCAAAAACCCTAAATCATGGGAGAGAAAGAGAAGGGTATGGGGATATCTCCGAGATTAAGATCTGGAGGAGAAAACCCTAATTTCAAGAATCTGAGAGAGAGAAGGTAGGTGAAAATCGAGCTTCTTTTTAATTTTTATTTTCCAAAATGGAGTTTAGTAAAGGCGAGAAGCGCGTGGGCGGGCGCGTCTACATAGAAACGGCACGGAGTTTATTGATTTCTTGTGTTTGATTGGGCTTCAACGTAAGCCCATTACAGCCCAAATTAGCACAAACATTAGGAGCCCAATGGCAGGGAACGACGGAATTTGATTCCGAAATCCGTCCTTTCGACCGGAGTTTGAATATTACGAGAATAATCCAAACTATCGGCTATTGGGGATGGTCATCTATGATTTCACTCCGAGTCTAATTCGGTTATTTTGAATTCGAAATCTTAGAAAAACTATAACCATCCGATTTTTATTTCGACTTGAATTCAGTTTTTATTGATAAAAAAACTTATAAAAAAATCGGTTAAAAACCATAATTTCACGATGAATCATATATCCATGGATCGAGATGCTTGGCAATTTGGATTATCCAACCCATTTTAAACCAATCCAAATGGGTTGTATAAATTAGTGGATTGGGTTTAATCAACCCAACAATAATAGTTTACTGGGTTGAGTTTAACCAAAAAAACCCATAGAGCCCCATTAACCCATTTAGTTAACTTAATTAATTTAAAAACTATTTTAATGGTACATGATCAAATAAAAAAAGTGTTTTACGAAGAGTCAAATAGACAAATACACTGAAATATATTATCAGACCAATTTATATTTCAAATTTATAATAAAACTTTTTTCAATTTAAACAAATAATGAAATATTAAGAGAATATATTCACAAAACATACATACATACATACATACATACATACATGTATCATGTATGGAAAATTTGTTAGAACGTACGTAAAATAATTGATAAACGAAAAAGTCTTACTCTAAAGCAAAACAAACAATGTATAGATTTTAAAAAGGTTAAATAATATTATAGCAAACCCATCAATTATATGATTTAAATGTGATAAGAGAACAAATAATGATTGGTCGGTCCATCATCACCAGTATATATATATATATAGGTGCCATTTTAATTCGAAGCTTTTCGATCGAGACTCTCGCACTCCCAAACTTCTCAAGTTAGTCATTAGGAACGTGGTACCAAAATTTAGAATTTTAATTTTATTTAAAATTTAATTGGAATCAAAATTTATGTAATAATCAATAATCAAATAACTGTAGTTTTATAAAAATAAAAATTAAATCGGAAATAGTTCAATAATTGAAAACGGAAATATAAGTATGAATATTTAGAAATATAAAAATAATTAAATACGAAGGTCTTTGTCAATAAACAATTTGTTAAATTAGGAGTGTGGAGTGTATATAATCCCAAAGAAATTCTAAAAAAATTATATTGGGTTCTTTTGGAAGTTAAAATAAAGGTTTTAGAAAGAAAAAAGAAAAAAAGAAGGTTTGTAAATAGTGTTTATTGGATTATCTGGGTCAATTGGGCTACCCATTAAACCGGGTTTAGATCCATTTAACCCATTAAATAATTTCAACCCAAAAATGATAATAAATGGGTTGGGTTGGGTTAACCCATCAAACCCAGCCCAAAATGACATTACTACTACAACAATTGAAACGATCATATATTTTTGGATATTCAGTCTGCAAGTCAGATCGATTATCCAAAAATCAATATATATATTGTGATACTAAAGTAGCTTCTTGAAAAGATGATACAACTTCAATTTCGAATAGGAGACCGATCGCATCGAGGTTGGGAAGGCCGTGAATTGAATTGAGTAAGGCCGAGTAATCGCGCCAGTTCAACGGGCTTGGGAAAAGCCTTCGGGTTGATTTCGAGTTTTTGTTTTCCGCCAAAAATTGGACTTTGTTTAAAAAAAATTGAAGAAGTAGAGTATGTTTATATATGTGTGTATATATATATATATATATACATGATTAAAATTTCAATGGGGTCGGGCCGATGGACAAAACGGACTTTAACTTTGAAGTTGAAATCCGTAAAATGTTATGAGTTGAATTTGGCACCCTACGTAGTACGTATTCACTTGGATTTATCGTCCTCCGTCTAGTTCTAGCCCCCATCCTCCCCCGCCCCATCATTTGGAATATCCCTAACCCACACGGAATTCGAATATACAGGATTCGAGAAGATCGAATAAAAAAAAACCCTAAACCCAAAATTACTTAAAATCCAACATTTTTTCTTGGTCATATAGGTGTGTGTAAGTTGTGTGTGTATATATATATATATAGGTGTGTGAGAGAGATTTTTAATTACGTCACCGAAGATATTTCCGTAAGCAATGAAGGGAAACACATGCACGAACCAATAAAAAAGAATAAAAAAAGAAATATTATTTCATAATCAACCTTGACTCTATATATACACACGACAATACATCCTCCTCACTGTCTCTTCAAACCTAAACCAATTGTCTAGCAAGTCAAATTGCTCTCTCTCACACACACAAAAAGCACCATTACGTCAACGTATAATTAAAAATGGCATCTCCGGAGATCCAGCTCGCCGCCGGAAACGCCACCGCGCCGTCGAAAGCAGACGCGAAACGCAGACGCAGACGCAGCGTCTCGATGAACCTCTCCTTGACCTCCGTGTTGACCAACTTCCACGCCGGATACTTCCGCATCAGCCTCTCCCTCGCCGGCCAAGCCCTGCTCTGGAAAACCATCGCCAGGCGGCGCGTGATCCCCACGCTCCACCCGTCGTCGGAGGTGGTGGCGGTGATATGGTCTGTGGCCGTGCTCAGCCTCCTCCTCCTCTCCTCCGTCTACCTCCTCAAGTGCGTCCTCTGCTTCAGGATGGTGAAGTCGGAGTTCCTGCACGAGGTGGGAGTGAATTACCTCTTCGTCCCTTGGATCTCGTGCCTTTTGCTCCTCCAATCCGCACCGTTTTGGGGTCCTGAAACGACGCCGTATTTGGTGTTCTGGTGGGTGTTCGCCGTTCCGGTCATCGTCCTCGACGTCAAGATTTACGGGCAGTGGTTCACGAAGGGGAAACGTTTCCTCACGGCCGTTGCTAATCCCACGAGCCAGATGTCCGTCATCGGCAACCTCGTCGGTATGCCCCTTTTCAACATATTTATTATTAATTATTATTACTGACATCTACAAATATCGTTCTGGACTCAAACTCTTCAGCGCATGTTTATAAGTGAAGGTGCGTATGGAGCGGGGGAGATGGGGTGGAAGGAGAGCGCGGTGTGCCTATTTGCATTAGGGATGGTACACTACCTGGTGCTGTTCGTGACGCTTTCCCAGCGTCTCTCCGGCAGCGAGCGGCTTCCGGCCATGCTCCGGCCGGTCTTCTTCCTGTTCTTCGCGGCCCCGAGCATAGCCAGCCTCGCCTGGCAATCCATCTCCGGCGGCTTCCGCACTCCCTCCAAGATGCTCTTCTTCCTCTCCCTCTTCATCTTCACCTCTCTTGTGAGTCCCTTTATTTATTTCTTCCTCTTTTTATGTATATAACTTCTTTTTATTTTACAAAAAAACTATATGTAGTAGTAGTATGCATGCTTTTTATTTCCTTTGATTGTTTTTTTTTTGGGGAGAAAATACAAAGGGGAAATGCTAGACGAGAGGGTAACTATTAAATGAAAATTCTCAACTTGTACAGCTGTACAATTAGGACAAGACAAAAATGTTATTATCATAATCTTTTTTTTTTTTTGCATAGAAATCCGTACACTGGTTTATAAATAAATAAATATAGAAATATTTTAAAAAAAATAATAACTTGTTAAAAAAACTTAGAAGAATACTGATTAAACAAATAGAGACAATAATTTTAATCACGCTTACGAGAGTGTTTCTCAATAATTAATGCAAGGAATCGGATCACAATTAGTTTTAAATTAAGTGAACAACAACAACATGCAAAAGATGTAAATATTAATACGTCAATACATTGGGGTTAGGACATATAATTTAATTTGCATAAATACAAGGTTGTCCTTTTACTGTAAAGATTAAACTAATATTAGATAGTCACAGACAAAAGTTATTTGAATCCTAACCATGTATTACGGCAACAACGATGACATAATAAACAAATTTCTTACTCAACTTGTTCCTATATATATTAAAAAAACTTATTATATTCCATAGCGTATGAATATATTATTATATAGTTTTACAATATGATTTTGACTTTGGTTCTGTACAAAGACAAGATTGATGTGGGCACAAGTTTAGGGGATTATTCAAATAACTCGTATCTTGGGTAAAATAAAGACCGGCCAATCGAATCAAAGTTTGAACTAAATAGAAAACTTGGCGGTGTGGGTTAGCTTTGGGTAATAATATTATGGGAAAACTCCTAAAAATTCCTGAACTAAATAATTCCTAAACTTACAAAAAATATCTCAATAAATTCTAATCTTGTAAAAATGTGTCATATTAGTCCTTCAAAAAAACTGATTATAATAATATGATTTTATATCCGGATGTGATTTTTTTGCCACGTAATCACTACCGAAAAAACTGATTACTGTGCACGAACATTTAGTACCGGAATTTTTTTTAAAAAAACCCTTCTGTCATTGATGGCGTTTTGTTATGATTTTGTCATCTTCTATGGATGTCCCCAATAAGCTCGAGTCTGAAGCTATACAGAACGTTATCTATATTAAGGAAGACGGAGCGGATGTCGATCCTGAAGAGCTTAAAAGCCTGAGCATATGGAACGTTTCATCTTGCATAGTGTAAACCATCATGTATACTAAGTGTTCGATGAAATGCCTCTCAGAGATTTTAAAATATTTTCTGAAGAAACCGGTTTTCTAAAACCCGGTACTGATTACGTGGCAAAAAATCATACTTGGTGTACCATATCACCTGCGGCGTAGTATATAAAATCATATTATTATAATCAGTTTTTCGAAGGACTAATATGACACCTTTTTACAAGATTATGATTCATTGAGACACTTTTTGCAAGTTTAGGAATTATTTGACACTCTCGAAAGTTCAGAAATTTTTTTCTCGCACTTTGCAAGTTCAGAAATTTTTATGAGTTTTTCCCTAATATTATCGACGGTATCCGAATATAATTGGCTTCAAATTGAAAAATTATTGCAAAATAAAATTTCGTAAAATATATATTCAGATAACCATATACATATTACATACATATAGAAAATAATATTTGTATGTATTAAAATTATAGTTATTTTTTTGACAAAAAAAATTATAGTTATTTTAAATTATAAAAAAAAATATTCAGATATATCCTAAAAATTATGTACCCCGGCCTACCCCGAGCGTTGACCATGCTATTTTTGTTTGCATGCGCACAAAAGGCCGAACAAAGATATCGATTTGAATCGAGGTTTCATCTATACGCTTTGGTAACGTAAAATAAAAAAAAACGTAGCAATAACTTTATATAAATTAATACATACATACATACATACATACATACATACATACATACATACATACATACATACATACATACATACATACATACATACATACATACATACATACATACATACATACATACATACATACATACATACATACATACATACATACATACATACATACATACATACATACATACATACATACATACATACATACATACATACATACATACATACATACATACATACATACATACATACATACATACATACATACATACATACATACAAATGTTGGATTAAACCAACAAAACCCTAGAAATAGTTTGCGGAAGACCTTATATCTTATCATGTTGTCACATTAAAGAATGATAAGCAATACACATAAATTTTATTTCAAAAGTAGAACAGTGGGGGTAATTTCTTGATATTGGGAGTTCATGGAAATGTTAATATTTCTGTAATAAGTATTCAGATAAATCTTATAATTTTCTTCCCCTCGATCGGTCTTCCTTCCTGTACACAGACAAGAATAAAAGTTGTATCACGTATTATTATTATTATTATTATTATTATTATTATTATTATATATTATAGTTTCTTATACGTATGTATTTGTCAAACCTAGCCCAATCCTCCCCTGCCATCAATGTTCCTCTCTTTTGTACACACAAAAAAAAAAAAAAAAATTAAACCGCTAATTAATTATGATTAGATTTTCTTCCTTCCCTTTCTTCCTTGTACTGTACGGACAGTCATCGTATCTTTTATATATAATATATATATATATATATATATATAAATGCATTGTATCTTTTATTCTATACATGTTGCGGATTTCACATATTAAAAAAAATGACAGATCAGCAAAATTAAAGTTTTAATTTTTTTTTCTATCAACGGATGCGAATGTGAAGGTGATAAGGCCGGCGTTATTCAAGAGATCGATGAAGAGATTCAACGTGGCGTGGTGGGCGTACTCGTTCCCGGTGACCGTACTAACGCTCGCGTCGATAGAATACGCGCAAGAAGTGGACCAAGTCGTCCCCCGTTGCGTAATGATCATCCTTCTCGCCCTCTCCGTCATCGTCGTCGTCTCTCTCGCCGCTTTCACCCTTCTCAACTCCAAAATGCTCTTACCCGACAACGATCCCATCGCTTCTCTCCTCCTCAACCGTTTGCCTACTTGATTTTTTCCACGTGCTTTTATGTTTTTTTTTCTATTAATTATTTTCCTTCTATATATGTTCCGTGTGTTTTGTAGAACTGTCGTTTCATCATATCCATACGTACCAAAGATCCAACCTCCTTTAGAACATTAGTGTTTGTCAATAGGGATAGGGATGAATATGGGTCGGATATACGAATCTGTATCTGAATGTTTTCGGTATTAGAATCTGAAATTCATTCGTTTATCTGAGAGATTCAGATCTGAAAAACAAAATCGGATATTTGAAATAATATTCAGGTATTGTAGTAGGTATGCGAGCCCGGATATATATATATATATTTTAATTTGAAGGTAAATTTGCAATTGTTTTTTTGTTTGTTAAAGAATTTGTAATTGTTTTAATAAATATCATGAGTGTTTTTTGTAATTTCTAATAAAGAGTAAGAATAAATTCGTAATTTAAAAAGTTAAAGATATTTCTTAATTTTAATAAATACAAAAGAATTTCCTAATTATGATGTGTATTCGACTGCAAGATTTAAAAGTCGAATCCATACTCGATCTATGAATAATTTCGGTGTAAATTTTTAAAACGAATTTGATTTACTTTGGTATCCAAATTAAAATCGAGTAATTTTCTTCCTCAGTATCTAAACGTGAAGTAGAAAATATATTTTACATTAATAGAAGCCAAAATAGGATCTCCAGACAACAAAAATAACATTAATCACAAAGAACACAAATACAGTTTATGTAAACATCCAAAAATTGTGTCTCAGATAAATCTACAAAAAAGGTTAAAAGAGCATCATCACTTCATTTATGAAGAAAAATGGGATGAGCTTTACAAAAGCTAAGTGAACCTGTAAATTAACTCAATTACTTGACTTCCTCTTTTTTTATTATTCGGAAATTCATCGTACTTTCAACTCAATTACATCTTTAATTAAAAGTTTAGAATATAACCGTTATAAAACATTCAAACTATCTCCCATCGACCAACACAAGATATTTCAGTGTACTTTATTCTCATCCACACACATCTCAAGAAACACTTCTCATGAGGTCATCCATTTTTTAAATTGCTCCAAAACGAGTACATTTAAGTTTGGAATTCTCTCATGATATGTAACAAAAAAGTTAGTTTCATCTTATTGTTATGAGTAGTTCAATCAATTCTTTTAAATTATTTTTGATTATATAGTCTTATATCTATATATACAGCCCTCGCAATCCTCTTATGTCGTTGCATTCGATTTATTCTCGTAGCCTTTTTTATCTAGCGGTCTTCGAAAAGTCGCTATTTGTTCATGTCATTTTTACCGACGATCACTCTCCGCCCTCATCATAATCCGAGATATAACAAGCCCACCAACTTGCACCTAGTTCGTCCTCGAACTACATCATATTAGAAGAGTACGTACCGACTCTGATATCGTTTATAACTCTTCGCGACCGTTATAGAACATTGAAACTGCCTCCACCGATCAACACGAGACCTTTCAGTATATTTTATCATCACTCACATACATCGCGAGAAACAATTCCCCAGAGGTCACTCATCATTAGATTGCTCCAAAATGAGCAATAACCTTAGAGCTCTCTCGCAATAGATAACTGAAAAGATAGATTGATCTTGTTGTTATATGTAACTCAATCAATTCTTTTAAATTATCTTTGATTTTGTAGTCCCGTGTCTATACAACCTTCGAATCTCTCTTTTTCCGGTGCGTTCGATTCATTCTCATACCTCTCTTTGCCTAGTGGTCTTCGAAAATTGCTCCGTGTTTGTGTCCCTTGCACCTACGATCATTCTCTACACTCGTCATCAGGACCGTAATATAACAGGTTCAATAAGTGCGATAGAACATACCCTAAGATTTATGGAACCCCAAAATAATTTTAAAAATATTAATAATACATATTATTAAAGGTAATTATTAATAATTATGAGTAGTAATAGTTTTTTTTACTCGTTAACCATTATTATTGTTAAATAAATTAAAAGATTTATTAAAACAAAAATATATTATAGCCTTTACTTCAAAAAAAAACATTTATTAAAACTAATCATTACTATAATATAAATTTAAAAATAAAAAATATTAATTAGTTTGTTAACGGTAACAAATTGCTCTGTAAACTCAAGATTGAGTGATTTAACTGGTAAAGAATGGAATAGAGTTATTTTCCAATTTATATCTGAGTCTCTACTTGGAAAGGGATATTCACCTAGATTTCGCCAGTTTTTTAAGAGATGTAGTTGAATAAAATATCCGATAAACTTTCAGATTAGAAAAAAATAAATAAATTATCCTATGAAAACATAAAAAAAAATAGTCATTTATCATCACATTTTAAGATCCTTATTTATGCATACAATTACTTTTCATTTATTTTATTCCTAAAAAACTACAATATTAAGGTTAGCTTTTATTTGGTTATCACTTATCAAGAAAAAACATGTAATATTAAGGTATTTTCATTTGATTTTCTTAATTATATTTATTATTATTATTTTTTAATATATATATTAATATTTTTTATTAATCTAAAATATATAATGTGCACATGACCCCTAAATTTTATAAGACGCCCTGATCATCATAGCTCATGATGTCATACGGAGGCAACCTTTATATTGCAATTAAATTACACACCTTCTCACCAATAGTTACTCGAACATGGAAACTGAGATTACAACACCTCAATCCTTCTCAACCAACTAAACCACTCGATCAACTCCGATTAAGTTTCTTCTTCTCCGTTTATCCTTTAGTCTCATTACCTTCAAATTCATATATTTATTTGTCTTTATTCTCCCATTCAAATTGCAGATTTGGTTAAGTGAAATCAGTGTAAACTTTTCATATTTTTTTATAAATAAATTATCAGAGACTCTTCTTAAAAACTTACTATTATTTGAATTATAATCGTACTAACAATAATTACCTAATATAAATAAATAAATTTATACATTGCTATAAATTTAAATTTATACATAATACAAAAATACCTAAACTTTGTTATATATCATTTTTCATATTTTCTAATAAAGACCAATCTAGTTGAAATTTAATACATATTAGCAATTTTCAATTTTATTACTAAGTTCGAGTTAGTCGTTAAGAATAAATAAAATTATATATTTTATTTTTTTATTACAAAAAAAATCGTATTATAAAGTTTACATGTGACGAATGAAAATATTATAGACTATATCTAATAATAATTTTTAAATTATTTGGGAGATCCAATCAAATTTTAATTAATATCCTCATATTATTTTAGTATCCTCATGTTTCTAATCTAACCATTAATTTATTGTTATTTAAGTGATGGTTGATAGTTAAAACCAAAAATTAGTATAATGAATTTGATACTAAGATGTGAATCATTATAGTAATTTCAAAATTAGAAAACTAAACATAATTTTGAAGTTGCTATAATGATTAAACTGTCTAGAGTAATCTTAGTATCAAATTCATTGCAACTAATCTATGGTTTTAACTATCAACCATCACTTAACTAACAATGAATTAATGGTTAGATTAGAAACATGAGGATACTAAAATAATTGATGAGAAGTTAAAAAAAATTGAATGGTATAACATATTATTTATATTAGTTCATGAAATTATGTGTGGCTACCCCGTCGATGAACACCAAAAAATCTAAATTCATGATGGAACTCGTGTATATTACGAACGTATAATACAAAATCCATATAAAACATTCGAATATTCTATTTATAAATGTTGGGATTGATTGGATAGAATATCCAAATTTTGGATAAATTTGACCATCACTAACATATAGACTCATCCTTTCAAACTTTGAAATTAATTTCTTTCAAAAAGTCAGTATATAAATAGATTCCTTATCCATAATTATATTTTTGTATTTATTTATAATTTTCCATATTTCTTATTAAATTACAAATGATCAATTTCTAAAAAAATATCTAATATAAATTAGTCAAGATTTACAAACAAAACTTTTGTTTTATAATGTATTATGATAGAAATCTACCAAACTAGTATATATCTATATTATATAGAAATATAACCCAATGAGACGAGTGTTGTAGTTGGTTAATATAGAAATATAATCCTATATTTGAGTGATAATTGGAGAGGAGAGATACAATTAAATTGTTACCTTTCAATTGAGTGTGGATATAATTGAATCGTCGTGAACCATGTTGAATAAAAAACAAGATAATATAGAGATATATCTCTAATAAATCATTCATTACCATTTCACATATTATTATACCATGTTGTTTATTTTGTAAAATCTTCATAATAATTACCTCCGAGGTCAAACGGTCAACACCACCACAAAAACATTTGATGGGTGGATATTTTCGGCTTTTTTAAATTATATTTATTTCATTTTTTAGTTCTAATTTAATTTTTATTTAAATATTTGCATCTTTATTAATTAATTTAACTTAATTTAAATTTGATTATTCATTAAAAATATTTTAATGATTTGCAAATAAAATTTTCTATTGTCTCGTTGCACAAATTTTGAATGTTTTATGTCTTTTAAAATAGGTATCTCGGTGAAAAAAGTAATTCTCAACACACCCTCACCCTCTCTCTCCCTCTCTAAAACCCCTTCTTCGTTCAACTTCCCTTGAGAGAGAAACTAGAGACCAGAGAGAGAAGTCGGCCGCCGGACATGGGGGCCCTGGCTCCGGTGACTCCGTGGATACCCGAAGACGACCTTCTCTTGAGGAACGCCATCGAGGTGAGCTTCCTATTTCGTTGAATTCCGTGTCACCTTTTCCGTTTTGTCTGGATGCTGAAATTGGCTGTGGTTTCGATTTCGGCCAATGATTCCGTCGGAAATTTCCCATAATTTTCGGTCCTTGAACGCGTTTCCTAGAGATTGTATGATTATGTTGTGTTAATCGTGTTTGAGGAATGCGAGTTAGCAGAGTTTCTGGTGTTGTTTTACGTTACTGGGATTTTTAATCGATGACTAATCTGTAGTTGATTGTTTGGGTTACTCTTTTCCATTGTTTATGTTTGGTTCCTGAAGGTGCTAACATCCTGACAAAAATCAATTTTTGGGATGAGAAATCGGTTGCTAATCTCGAGGATGCTGTGGAATTTGTGTGTCAATTATTGTGTCGAATCCATTAAAGTGATTGCTATTTAGGAATTATGGCGTTTACATGGTATAATATTAAGTGATCCGGAATGTATGTGGAAAGAAATATGCTATCTTGAAATGGTGGTGTATGATTCTTGTGTTGTTAAAACTGTGCGTCCGCACCTGTATATAACCTAAGGTGTTACAAAGATTTGATGCCTTTGATAGCTAAAAGATTGTTGGTTCTTAAAACCGCTATCTCTCGATTGAACAGTTCCTGTTGTGAAGTTGGTATCAACCGTGCCATTTATGCGGTTAATCAGAACTAGAAGTTATCTAGTCTTTTTTTCTAGAAGGAAAGGACTGTGATTACTTTGGTACGATACGAGTCTTTGATTCAAAGATGTTTGCCTAGAAGCGGAATTGGCTGTGGTTTTTTCTTTTGGCTGTGCCAGTTTGGTCTTTGTGTTTTAGCTTTCTAAATTGTGATTTCCCTGATATTTGCTTATATTGTTCATACAGATTTTTGTTTTCTTAATGTGTGATTCTGAGAATTAAGGAACTCGCTAGCATGCTAAGATGTTGTGTAGTATTTGATAAACCATATCCAGTTGCCTTTGTTATGGGTGAAGCATTTATACATAAGGCTGATCCAATCTAAAGTTTCAGCTAGTTAAGTTTGATAGCCTTTGTGGTCTCTTACTCTCTCTCTCTCTCACCCCGTATTTTGGCTGGAATTGTTTTCTTCCTAGAAATGGAAAAGAATTTTGTTTTGTTTCAGTGACTTTTAAGTTTATTATCACTGTGCTGGATGTACTGGTTTATTTTACGTTTAGCTTGTTTAGCATTCAGCAGTTAAATATTCACCAGTCTCCGTAGTTATTTTTCAGGCTGGTGCATCCCTGGAATCGCTTGCTAAAGGTGCAGTGAGGTTTTCCAGAAGATTCACTATCAGGGAACTACACGATCGATGGCATTCACTCCTTTATGATCCAGATGTTTCTACAGAGGCTTCGTTTCACATGGCTGAACTTGAACGCTCTAACCCTAGTATTCCTACAAAGTTTGGTAGAACTGGAAATTCAAAAGAAGTTAAAAGTTCATCTGGGAAGAGGAATGCTGAAAAAGTTCGCCTTACCTACTATTCCTTGCGAAAGAAATTTCGTTTGGAGCCTTTTAATTCGATGGATCTAGGCTTCCTTGTTCCGCCAAATGACAACCATTTCATTTGCAATGGAGATGCGGCTCATTTGGGACTTGAAGAGTCTCACATGGATATTATCCATAACGCTTTTCCTGAAATTTTGGTCGATGGAGGCTGCATGGGGGGATTTAATAACCCAATTGAGGATAGTCATCCTGTGCCAGAAGATAATTTGCCAGGTGAAATCCCTCATGTAATGGCAGGGGATCTTGCATTCACTCAGAATGCAGGTTCTTCTGGATGTGATGCTGTTCATCATGACTCCAAGATGAAATTAGAGACAGCTGTTCATGAACCCAAAACTGCAACGCCTAGCACTGATTGCTTCCTGGCAGAGCTTTCAAATTCTCTTTTCAATGATGTGGATCCTTTCATGGATGTGGAAGGTAAAGATATTGACAAATCGTATTATGATGGCCTTAGTTCTCTTTTGGTAAACTCCTCAAAGACTACGAGCCAAGAGGCTCTGCCTAACTCTACTGAGCAAAATTCTTCTGCTGATCATAATAATCCAGGAGATGCCGGTCTGGGTGATTGTGAGACACCTGAACTAGATGGTACAAACGCAACGAGCTCGTCGGTGGTCAAACCAGTGTCTGACTCTCTTGCAGTTGATCCTCATCCTGAGGTTGTTAATGGTGTTATCTGCTGTGTATTAAACACAGAGGAACCTGAAATTCCTTGTAATGGCGACCTATTCCCCTCCAACAACTGTCATCCAATGTCAGTTTCTTCCTTAGCCCGGCGTAACTTTAAAGATTCCAGTAATCCAGTTTCTACATCTGTCAGAGATCTCTCAGCCAGTAAGGAGAGAAGTATAGGATATTCTGCGCAGATGCCGAAGAAGAACCCTGGACGATCACAAGCATCTTTTCGAGGAAAAACAGAGATGAGTCAGCCAAGTCAAGGTACAGAATACAAGGAATTTCCTAAAACTGAGTCACATAATGCCACACCTAGGGCTACGGCTATCAATTCTGGTGGTTCTGCCTATGGAATTTCCGCGCAGACATGTTCAAATACTCAATCTGCTGTGTCATTAGATGGAAACAGCACAGTTGCAACTATAAAGCATATTCCTGGAAAACCCTCCATGGGATCTGATGGTCATGGAAAGTATCCCAAGAAAGATATTGGAAACAGTACAGTGGAACAAGGTATCCTGGCAGTTGACAATCTGCCACATACTGACGATGGCTCGATAGAGATGATAGCCGTTGAACCAGAGGTGAATCCAACAGTGGATGAACATCTTGACTATAGTGATGAAGAGTTGCCTAATTATTCTGACATCGAGGCTATGGTAACTCATAAATTATATCTTTGTTATGAATCCTTCGGATTTCCATGTTTTAAAAGCTGTTGTTCGTAATCAGTTTTTTTTCTTCAAAATATTTATTTATTCCTTACGCCTTAACCCAAAAATTATGCTTTGTCAATTCAGATACTAGATATGGATCTGGATCCTGGTGATCAAGATATGTTCGAGCTTGAAGGTAATCCAGCATGTCTTCACATCCAGCATAATTTCTATTGTCCTTTGTGTAACAGCACATCTTCACATTCACCGTAATTTCTGTTGTCTTTTATGTATTCTATTTTCTTCCAAATGCTCTATTATGTGGCACATCTATGAATTTTCACAAGAGTGCATGATTAGGGAGGGCCTGTAAAATTCATTTGATGTCACGATTTCTGTGGCATTTATGGTGGAGATATATGGGTTCTTGTTGAGCGTTGCACATAATTATTTGAAGTGAAGTCGGAAACTGATTTGCTTATTTCATAATGTGATTCACTGTCTTCTGGCCTCTGTCATCGTCCAGTCTCAAAGTATCAGAATGAGGAAACCAAAAGGGCAATTATCAGACTTGAACAGGCTGCTTACTCATACATGCAAAGAGCTATTGCTTCACATGGTGCTTTTGCTATTTTGTATGGAAGGCGTTCAAAACATTACATCAAGAAACCTGAGGTATTACAATAATATCACTTTGGAGCATCTTTCGATTACTGTGGTTATTGTATGATTGAAACCTCTTGGGGAATGATAATATATGTTTTGAGCCTTGTTATATTGTGTGGTCTGGTCCTACATAGGTTCTGCTTGGTAGATCAACTGAAGATCTCGTTGTGGACATTGATTTGGGAAGAGAAAAACGTGGTAGCAAAATATCTCGACGTCAGGTCAGCTTAGTAGCTACCTTTATTTATTATTTATTTGTAAAGTGTCAAATTCTATGAGAACTGTCCACAAATTCCTAGGAACCTGGTGATTTTGCAGGCCATCATACGTTTGGGAGAAGACGGTTCTTTTCATATGAAAAATCTTGGGAAGTATCCTGTCTCAATAAACGAGAAGGAAGTAGATCCTGGACAGAGTTTAATCCTCAAATCCGATTGTCTGATTGAGGTTTGCTCTTGGATACCTTTGATCACAAAGTAATAAAATCTACGATAAATTCGGTACTTATCCTGGATGTGAAAAAAAAAATTGTTCTGCAGATACGGGGAATGCCTTTCATCTTCGAGACTAACCAAGCATGCATCAACCAATACCTGGATAGCAACGGGAAGGTGTAATCGAGATGGGTAAAATCCCGGATCGCTTTTATGAGTTTCTCATTCTAATCAAGAATGTGCCTGTTTTCTACTCCGTGCTCTTTTTTTTTTCACGTAGCCTTAGCAGTTGTAGCCCATGGATTATTCTCAAAGTAGTGTGTTTTGTATCTTCTTTGTCTAAATCACATAACCACAGAAACCTGTCTTTCAGACCGAGCTAGGGTCGACGACATGTATAGCAGATGCAGTTTTCGTTCCCTTTCTAACTTCGTACTCCCTTTGAGTACCAAAAGGATATGAATCATGAATGCAAGAAAAAAGGTTGGCTGGATAGATTCTGGATTTTGATTATTCCAGGTCCCTTTTATATGTGCGCATCGTAGATCAGAAGTAGCTATTTTGTGCTGAGATTCTTTTTCAGGTTCTACCGAAGCTGCGGTTTCGATTGTTGGTTTCAGGTAGGCTTGATTTCTCACTTTGTTTTCACAGAATCTCTGTCGTTGTTTATTCTTGATTTGTTATAAGCCCTGTGGACTCGCAATCCACCTTCTGTTCCGAAGAAATGGTGGTGTTTTCACGTATTTTTATTTTCATATAATACGGGTTTGGTCCGGCTTCGGTTTTGTATAACCGAACCGAAATGTTCATTCCTACTTTTGACTACTCACAGTGCTTGTAACTTGCGTTTTCTGATTTGTCTGATAACTCTATCTCGGGTTTTGGTTCACCGAATGGATTTCAAACATCAGCCATCCACAATGATTTAGCCTCCCGAACGGCTCGTTTTCCGGCCAACTACCTGAATCATTTCGGCTCCCTTCTGAGCCTTGAACAGCTCTTTCTTGATCATAATAATAATAAAGAGAATGTGGGTGTGCTCTTTCGGTAACTTTGTGAATCTGAAACGCCCTGAGATCCAGCAACACCGTCTCTAGTGAATTTAATGATCCTTGTAAGCTCTCTCTACCCATCTCCCAACTTCTGTTGTGGAACTCGTTGTCCGAAAAAACCACTTGGAGGGCGAGATACCCAACAACTTCCACCACTTGGTGTTTCTACAAGTCATCGATCTCAACCACAAAATCTCTTAAATTCCCGAAAACGGTGGTGTGAGCCGAAACAAGTTGGTCGCTTCAATCGCGTTAGACGGCTCTTGCCGTTGAACTTGGTCCGAATGCATTAATGATATGCATTCGGACCAAAAGTATGATGAATTCTGGATTCTCAAGCATTTGGTATATACAGATGCAATAATGATATGCGTGGAAATGTGTGCATATGCAGATAATACGGTTGTGGAGAAAGATATTGAGACAAGTTCCAGAACCAGGTCCTGATGCAAATCCAGTGTGCTCATACATACATGTTTGCAATCGTGGATGGCAACGGGTCTATGAGAGACCGATTAGGTCCGCAAAGTGTAACCAAGATGAGGAAAATTCATTAGAAAGATTTTGAAAGTCAGACAACTTGGAACGGTCTGGACATTGAAAGATTTTGAGTTCTTACGTTCTCATCAAAACCAAACAAGATAAAAAGCATTTAAGAAACCACTCTTGGTGTAGACAAGTAGGGATCGGGGTCAGAATCCGTCCCATACCGCGGAAATCCCATGCTTTTACCTGTTAGTCGGCAAAATAAAGAAAAGACAGAGATCAGTATCGACAAGTTTCGGGTTTCTAACTCACATTTAAGGAACAGAATGAGGAGGGGTTTGTTAGTAGTACAATCTGAAAGGGGTATACTCATAAGCAAATATGTTTTTATTGTCTGCTTCAGCCTTCACTTGATGCCAAACATATATAAAATCCAAAATAATAAAAGAGGAAGAAAGAAGATGTCTAAAATCTTACTTTACAGATGGATTGAAGATGGTAAAGACACAGCAACAGCTCTTTGGGCAAGCTGAGCTTCGAAACGGTACAATCCTTTCATTTCTTTCTTCGCCCGCCTCGCTTCACGCCTTTCATTCTTTACAGCAGCCTGCATCCAAATTTCAACCCGGGATTACGAGGAAATTTCAACAATTTCCCTAGCAAATGGGTAAGGAAAAACGCTAAAACTCAATTTACCCATTAAAGGATTGCATAGACCAAAATGAAGCATGAAAGATATAGAAGCAAATATCATACCTTTCTCTCTTTCTTCTCCTCCTTTGACTCTTGGCCATGGGGTTTCCTCTTGAGGGGTTCGTTTTTCGGGATTACAACGTCTTTGGCTTTTGCCGAGATTTGTTCAGACTTTCTCTGAGGCAAAAAATCAACTGGAAGCTTCTCTTTTCCCTGGAGGGAAATCATTTTACCACTGGAACTCAACGCTTTAGCTACGGTTTCACTCAGCTTATGTTTCCTTGCTGTCCCTGGAGCTTGGATTTTACCAGGGTGGTTGTCGAGATTTGAATAGGTAGTGATTATGGTTTCACAATCCCACTTTTCGGATTCATCACTGGATTCCTGTACAACCACCATTTCTTCAAGGTCATCTTCGTTTCCATTTTCATATTTCTCAGCATATTCTGCGCAACGACGGATAATAACTGCAGCAGAGTCCAGTAACTCTTTGTCTTTCACCACTTCACTGTTCTTCAACAGATCCGCGGGATTCAAATACTTTTCTCCAAGCTCAAAATCATCTGGATTTTCATTCACAATACTCTGAAGCCTGAGAGCCACAGAGCCTTCTTCTTCTTCTCCTTCTTCTACTCCTCCATCTTCGGCTAGGTAACCGTTGTAGTCATCATCATCAATATAGCTTCCATATTCATTAAGCTCAAGCTGCAAGAAACCATTGATACCACAATAAACTAACTGGGTCCAGTATCGATCAGGGAAAACAAAGTAAACCCGAAATTTTATGTTTGGAAAAGTTTTAGGGAAAGGAATAAACTGAAAATGCATAAACAACCTCAAATTTAAAGCATGTAATTTGGCCGAAAAGCCAAAAGTATGGGTAAAGGAAAACATTGAGGAAGTTAGCGAATGAAAGAAGATATGAGAAGATTATGTGGAGGTAAAGAAGTCTAACCAGATCAAACTGCTCATCAAGATCACGACGAATCCAAGGCTTGGCACTGTAATGTAAGTCCTCTTCACCATCAGATTGATCTCTTAGCTCATCACTTCCTCTATTGCTTGCCTCAGGTCTTTCAGGAAACATATTGTTCATACCTGAACCTTCCCCTTGTTGAGGAAGATTTGCTCGAATGACAAAGTCTTCCTCCAAATCCTCAACATCGGAACCAACCTCAGATAAATCACTGTTCTCAAGCAAGGCAGCCACTTCAGGATCCATAACTCTTTGCACCCCCACGTTAAAAGTGCTCGATGCCACACTATAAATTGACTTCTCATTAGCATCCTTTTCCGAAGCAGGAACTTTAACCCGAGAAGCATCATATGCCTACAAAAACGAAACAAAAACACAATCTATAACCATTACTCCCACCGACAACAACATAAAGTAAACAAATTCTTAAGAGACAGAGCTTTATATTACCAAGCCTCCAGTGCCCTAAATGACCAGGGTCTAAAACTTAAACACCATAATTCAAACCAATGGATCAAAGCATAAATCAAGCAAGTGTTCGTCAGCACAAAAACAGGGACTATAAGAAAAGAGAACTGATCCAGAACATTCATGGCAGCACATAGAGAATCATTGCACATACAGAAACATCATTATACTGACTATACCTATTAACAAATTCAAGATTTTATGAGACAAAAACTAACCTTGACATCGCGAGGAAGCTCATCAAACTTAGCCTTGGGATTGAGATAAAAGGCAGAACCAGCACCAGTATTCTTAATCTCTCTCAAGTGTGCCAAATAATTATAACCATCATCAGGAAAACCCAACTCTAGTATCTCCTTCCTCAAATCATCCGGCAACAGATTTCCATCACCCGAATTGTCGAAATACCCATCGTTGTAATCTTCAGGAGCGTCTGCAAACAAAGAGCTGGAATCTCCGTGTTCGTCGGAGAAACGACCGACATTGACAGGGTTGCGATCGACACGAACAAAGACCTTGTCGCCCCCTGGCGAGTCACTGAATCTCGGGTCAGACGAATCACGGGGACACAACTCGAAAGTTGCAGCCTTTTTCTTGTCAATGAACTTCTTCGTCTTGCCCATTATCGCTAGTTTCTTCGAGATTCAGCAGCACAAGCGGCAGACTCGTTTGACTATGGGACTCTCAGTTAAACCCTAGAAATCAAACATGTAGCCGCCATTAACTAATCATCGATCAAGCTTTAGGACTCGGTGTTTAGACTGAAAACTGAAAAGATTCATGTAAGCCAAACATCTAAACCCAAAACAATTACACCGTCGTGCTCAGAATTTCGTAAGAACTCCGAAAAAAAGACAATAGAATAGAGGGAAGACGGAGGGAGCTCACCGGCGAGATCGAGAGAGAAGCCAACGGAGACGGCAACAGAGGAGTCTTGGTTGCGGTTGCGGAAACCCTCACTAATCTCTCTTAGCCTTCTCTTTATATTTTTAGATTTAATAATTTGTATATTAATAATAAATGACGTGTACTCACGCACCCTAATGGTAGGGTTGTGTTACGCTACAACGATAGACAATGTCGTAAATATACGGTAGGGAAAAGGGTAAAACAGTCATTTTAATGATACAGGCTGCTTTAGTTATGAAGATGGCGGTTATATAATATTTTCAAGGAGAAGAACAGAACATCATCCATGGCGGCAGACTCAGCACAGGATATTGGGAGAGACAGAAGAGAAAATTTGATGAAGAAGAAATCCCATTCGAGACCAAATTTCGTTGGTTGCTCCTATCCTATCCACTGTTAAAATTCCTTTAAATTAATTTTCAAATTTTTTTCACATTTACTGCACCGTCCATAGATTTCTCAGTCCAAATCCTTCTCTGGCCAACGCAATTTCATCCCAATTGATTCTAAGACTGCGACTGTGGGTTTCAACGGTCAAAACATTCGTCCATTTGTTCATCTTTGAGTTTACCCTTTTTGATTTCTGTCCGAATCTTTTTCACATTTTTCATCGGTTTCGCGGACAGTCAAAAAGGAATTAGGGTTTCCGCTTTGGGCATTCATCTTTTTGTATTCATCTTTCCGTCGGATTGTCAGATTTATGAGAAAGACTAGGGGCATTTACCACTTCTCCTTCTTGGAGTTTGCCCTTTTGACCCATCAAATGGTGGTAGAATGGTTTTCCTAGTTATGACAAAGTCCGGTGATCGATTCTACTGTGAAAAAGAGGAGACGCAGTTAATTATGGAACTAAAGAAAGGTTAACTACGAATTTAGGGGACACTGAACCTCCCGATTATTTTAAAAAAAAAAATTCCCAAAATAAAATTGTAAAACATGTTTAGTTGATAACCATTGAAAACAAGGTAAGACAGTTGCCAAAAGACAAAAAGTAGATGATTATTCGCCAAAATCTCAAAGGGCATTAAAAACCAAAAAATAAGAAAACAAAAACAATCGGAAAGATAAAACGAATATCATTTAAAAATGAGCATACACATACAGAGACAGACAATTCAGGTTATCTTGCGACAACAAAAAATTAAGGCAACGGAGTTAAGACAAATAAACAAACTAGGAAGCTAATAATCCCCAGAGAACAAAAGAGACTCTGAACTGAAAGTGTTGGATCAGATTCGCCCTGTCTGAAAACAAAGAAAAACATATCTGGAACAACTTACAAGGGCTCTTTTACTTCCTCCGAGCTTCCCTGTTCGGTCTGTGGACTCTGATGAGTCTGGTGGTGCTGTTGATAGATGTTGTTGTGAGATTGAGTTGGGAGCACACCAGACTGAATGGAGAGCTGTCGAGCCATTTGGTCCGAGATATGGTTCTCCCCGCCGAACTCTGCCGCCATTGACTCTATCTTCAGCCTCTGAACTTCCGTAGCCAACGCCTCGTTCAACGCTGCAATAATTTTTCACAATACCCCGAAATCGATTCATAATAGGCAACACATAATACCCACGTGTAGCTGCCGAGAATGGAAACGCGACACTCTTTACAATACTGGGTTGGTGATCGACCTCCAGGTTTAGCTCGAGAAAGGCCCATTCCGAGAAGTTTAGTCTGTTCAGTTCTGTTACTTTTCCTATTTTGTGCCGGATCGTAATAAAAGGAGCATTTCCTATTAAGAAGTAAGGTTATCAAAGAGTTTTTATCAAGAAAAAGAGATCCCCAAACTCCGTGAGGTTGGGAAAATACTTCGATAGATCCTCAAATCACTATCAATTTACAGTTCTACACTGGTGTTGGGGAAGAGTTTTCGAAGTTTTTGGATTTTAAAACTGAAAAAACTGACAATTAAGGCCTTGAATGGTGGGAGTTTTTGGAGTTTTTAAAATCCAAAAACCAAAAAAAACATCATTCAAGTTTTTACAAAATTACTTTTCCTAAAAATTTGGAAAGCTATTTTAGTGAAAAAATCAATGAAAAACCAAAAACTACTTTTTTTTTAGTTTTCAAATATTATAAAATCCAAAAGCCAAAAACCAAAAACCCCAAATAAAAGCATCTCCATTCAAAGCCTAAGTATTTTAAATTTTGATTTTCTTAAAAACCTGGAAATCTACTTTATAAAAAAAATCAACTAAAAACCAAAAGCCACACTTTTTTAGATTTACAAACTTCTGAAATCCAAAAGCCAAAAACCAAAAACTGAAAACCAAAACCAAAAACTAAAACCAAAAACTCAAAATAAAAATTAGTGTCATTCAAGGCCTAAGTTATCTGTCAAGAGAAGAAAAAAAAGGGCAAACATGTCTATGTTCTTGATTAAACTCATCATCAATGTATATTGTATATCAGCCAACTTAAATTTGTAAATTTCTGCAGAACAAGGAGCTAACTACGTGATTCATCTAACAAATTTTCTTCAAGACGATGTAAACGTGCATGCGGTAACATACATTCTCCAGCTCGAACCCGAGGGAATGGAAGATCATGCAAATGTCAATATCGGTATTACCAAAGTAAAAACTTTATATTTTGGATTGTTGAGCATACATGGGCTAGGTAACGAGGAGGAGTTCCTTGGACAAGCTAGATAATCTAGGATACTGGAGATGAACTTAATAGAATTCCCAAAATATAATTCGTAAGAATGGTACACCACAGATTAGATAGGCCAGGCCGGAAAAGATAAAACACGTAAACAGAACAGAACTGAGATAGAGAGGAAGGAAATACCGTCTTTGAGTTGTGCCTGTTGTTCCATGGCCTGAAGCCGGAATTTCAACTCATTGTTTTGATTAGCAAGTCCAGCTGAATCTCTCTGAAACCAGGCAATTAAGACAAAACTCCAAGTGATTCATGATTATCGTCAACCCAAGAAAACAAGAAAACTGAACAGAGCTCTATATGGAAAATGAAAAAAGAAAATGTATTATGATGATTAGTCGGTTGACCTGCAATATTGTAAGTTGAGCAGACAAGGTGGTGGCTTCTGTCTGTAGGGTCTGCACTTTATGTTCCAGTTCAGCAATATAACGCAACTTACGCTCCTTTGAACGAGCAGCAGATTGACGATTAGCCAAAACCCTGAGACCAAAACAATAGTAACATTAGATCATAACTATTCATGTCCGGCAATAATACATAGATGAAAGTAAATAACAAACAGCAACAAACCTCTTGGCACGTTTGGGATCTGATGACGCAATTTCAGCGAGCTTCTCATCCTCCATGATCTTCTTCAGTTCTGCTTGACTGAACTCTCCTCTTGCAAACTCAAAGTTCAAGTTTTTCAAACCCGATTCACTCGGAAACTGTTGACCAGCTTGAGTTCCCAATGGAGGAGGAGAAGCCTTTAGAGATGCATCGTCGAAAAGAAAATCTGCCCCCATGTAGCTATCCACCGAAACGCTTCTTTGGTGCCGTCCAGTTGGCACAACATCTCCACTAGCAGTCCTCTTTATCCCTTCCCTCCTCCTCGATGCAGCACTTTCAACCTCGTTATCACTGCTATCTCCTCCTCCATTTGTCTTTGAACCACTCGCTCTGCTGTCCAAATCCTTTTCTTCAGTGGCTCCCGAGCTTAGAGAGCCGATATTATCCAGGCTCATGTAAGCATCGACCAAATCATCAGTTAGCTCCCCTTCCAGTTTCCTCTCGCCTATCCCTTCAGCCACACTCCTACCATCACCACTCCACTCAGATTCCCGTTTCACCAACTGTATCGGCTTCTCCACTTTCGAACTTGGGACCAGCCGATTCATCATTCCCATGTTTCCAAGATGTACGGAATTCGGTGACGACGAAGAATGAACCATACCCAAAAACCCTAATGGTGTATCACTGCTTGACCGCCTATGGCCCTTACGAGGAGGCAGTCTATTCAAAATAGCAGAAGTCTCATACTCATTGCTTCTAGAAAATGGCCAAGGCAACTGCTGTCCGCTGATACTCCCTGACTTATCCTCCATTGACACATCCAATGACCCGAGCTCAGAAGTCGGAGAAATAGACGAGCCCTTGAAGGGCGACGGGCTTAAGGGAGGTAAGGAGTCGAGGGAAAAAAATGGGGGCTGAGACAGGGACCGAGAATGGGATGGACCTGGGTTTGAATTCCTTGAACTAAGTTGCTGACAACCTAAACGAGACCCTGCTGCCTGGACATAAGCAAAGGTTGCCGGATTGTTTGGATGCGAAGGAGGAATACCAGGTCTCTTGCTGCTGTCGGGACTCGTACGGATTTGACCGGCCGTTGAAGCCGACATTTCAGAGTTGTTATTCTCCCTGTATCTCTCCATGTTCTATGCTACAAAACCCTAGAGACAATCAACTCATAAGCAGATAATTCCCAACCATTAACAACAAACCCTGAAATCTAATCCTCACTCTCTCTCTCCCCTCTACTCTGTACTACAATAAAATCGGTCAAAGTCCTAAATGACTTGCAGAGAATGGCGATTACAATTTCCAAGAATCAGATATAAACCTGAAAAATCCAAGACTACGCAACCGAGAACTGTATGTACAGATACACACGCATATAAGTGTGTCTATGAATATATATACATATACCTGGCAACAAAAACCCTAGCTCCTCCCTCCCTCTCTCTCTCTCTCTCTCTCTCTCTGTCGAGGTTCAATGAACAGGGAAGCAAAGCAGCAGTAGCTCTTCGGAAATGAAAAGGCAGAATCCAAAATGCGCGAATCCGGCAGAAGATTATCTCAGAAAGTCTTCGTTTTAAAACCTCCAAAATTCCCAAAACCAGTTGCAGACTAAATGTTGTCTGAAAATCTTAAGACAAAAAAAAACAAAAATAAATAAATTGGAAAAAAAATATTCCCAAGTTTCTTCCCCCATGATTTACGTTTCTTACAACAATGGCCCATATGTTCATTATTCCACTAAATAAATATATTATTTTTTATTGACACGATAGTTATGTAACATTATGTTTTAATTTATCAAAATGATTTTGCACACAATACAAATTTGATATGGTTAAATAAGTTATTTTAGAAATAAAAAATTATGCTTGTTGAAAATGCCGAGAATGTTGATAGGTGATTATTTTCCCTGCTCGGTCTTTTTTCTTCTTTTTATCAAAACACTAATGGAAAGGCGATCATTTAAAAATAGGGGGAGGTTAGATCACCCAAAAAATGGTGGGGTGTTAAATGAAATGATAAAAGAGTACAGGGATCGAATCAGAAAGAAAATCCATATTAAAAAAAAGATAATTTATTTGACGCGTTTTCGGATTTACTTTTATGTTAAAACGTGAATAGAAGGTATGGTCTAATGGGCCACTTGATTGATGCAACGTTGTCCTATCGCATTTATTTATAAATCTGTTTTTTTTTTCTCGGTAAAATGTGAAATGAAAATATTGTAGTGTCATAAAATGCCGATATTTGTAAATTATAATTTTTTTTTCCAAAAAAAACTGAAATTACTCTTGAATAATAGAAATTTTCGATGGTAAAACCTTTGAATTGTTCGTTGGACGCATCTATCCGGTGAGAAAACCTCCGAGTAGATACGAAAATTTTGAATACCAATAGAAAAACGAATTAAAAGAAAGTTTATGAAATAATAACAAGTATCTTTTATGAAATAAATAAAATCTACAAATGAGAGAGAACTAATACATACCGATAGGTTATTAAGATATAAAAGATGAAATCCAACAGTTGGTGGCGCAGTGGCTGAAATGTGGCAAAGTCATCATCGAAGTCATGACTTCGATTCCACTGGTGGGGAGGGATATAATTTCTGGATCAAAATGGTCCATATACAAAGATTGGTCTCGGGCCTAGTATGAATGTAGTCGGGCCGAAGGTCTGGGAAACCATCCTGGTTATAAAAAAAAAAGATATGAAAGATGAACGATTGATTGTGTTATTCAAAGCGGGTAACGAGAGAGAATATAATATGGTGCTAAAAATTATAGATATTATATAATGAAGCTGAGGGTATTTTAGAGAGTTTGATACTAAAAAGAATAATTTATAAAATGGAAGAAAAAAGATTTAGCTTATCAATATCACTCTAAAAATGGCACATTTGGACAATTTTACTTTTATTATTATCAAGTTTATGGGAAAAACGATTTTTTCTTTGTAGGGAAGGTGTGC